GACCGAGGCCCAGGACCGAGCCTGAGGCACACTGCTCCGCTCCAGCCTCTCCAGAGCGCCGACTCTCACTGACATTACATCAGCTGGGGAGACATAGTAGACCAGTGTGTGTGCGTTTTGCTCCTTTCAGCTTGTTGCTCTGAAGCAAAACAAAGTGGCCTGCAGATCACCTCCTCTTGTTCTGACAGCAAGAGGTGTCATCAGTAGAAGCAGATATTAGCCAGCAAGGAGAAAGTCATGGCTGTTCGCATTATACGTGGAATGGAAGACCTGATGGCATCGAGCAGCCAGCTCGTCTGGAGCCTGGCGCACCAGACGCTGAGGAGGTGGTACAATCGTGGGCTGATGCCCTGTAGACGCATCCTAGAAGCCTGGTTCAGGATTGGAAAATGCTACCAGGTATGACAGCTCCTTAAGCAGAGGCAGCATAAGTAGTTTCAGTAAAAAGAAAGAACGGCTCAAATGTATCAGGTTTTAGTGGTTGACAGCATTTGTCATCAATTACTGGATTGAATTTTTATGGCTTAACTTTCCTTTGAGTGAAGTGAGTCAGTGCTTTTTTTCTCATCTGGCTTATTAGTTGTTTGCATGTGTTTATTTGTATGAATGTGAGGAGGCGCAGGCTGCCTCTTGGAAAGTCTGTTTTTTAACAAGGGTCCTTCTCCCTGCACATATGGCAGTCATTTGAAAAGCAGCATGACCGGCCGTTTGATCTCACTGTCTGGCTGAGGAGGAGAACTTTCAAAGTTGTCTTTGAAATGCATTGTTGCTGGAACACCTGAACGCTGCCTGTGTGGTTCACATATCCTCCTTGCATGCCTTCAGTGTAGACTTGAAAGTGATCAGGTTGCTCTTTTTTTGTGATATACGAACACAAATTTCCCTCTTTGACTTATTTCAGAAATTAAACAGAACACCTGACACTGCTTTCTCTTTAGAGGAGATCACAGAAATAACACAATGACAGACCAAAGTGCTTATTTTTATAGTTTATTAGGTGAAAGTACAGTGGCAGCCTAAGTTATTATTATATTATTAGTGATTTAACATGTCGTCAGTGCAAATGTTGTAGTTGGCTGGGTTGGACCTTGTAATTGCTTTATATACTCATCATTAATCATATGTTGTAACATTTTAATTTCAGCAAAGGGTTTCAGTATATCCTTCTTTAATGTAACACAGTAGAAGTAGAAAGTCTCATTAAGTGGATACGCGCTTGTAAATCGTCCCAAAATTCCACTTAGGTAAAGAGTTTCTGTCTTTAACTTTGTATAGATTTTTCCTGTTACTCATCAGCTCAGGTCGTCTACGCTCAGCAATGTACTGGCAGCTTAAGACCTTGACTTTGTCCTGTAATTAAAAAAGAAAAAAGAAAGAAGAAAGAAAAAAGACATGACATGACATGATTTTTGTGTATTTAAATAGTGTATCAACTGTAAAAACAAACAAAACAAAACAAGAAAAGCAAACTTAACATTTACTGATATAATAAGAATTTTTTTTTCTTTAAAGAAAAGACATTTGCTATTATTTATTGGTCCATCCTTTTTTTCTTTTTTTTTAAATAGGACATATTCTGTTATTTAACTGTAAATTTATAGTATAAAAAGTAAAAATGATAAATAACATACCATTGCAAAAAACATACTGGCAGCACATAACTTGGAACTTTTTGACTGTAATTAAAAAATGGAAATATTGTGTTAAATTTGTGTAATTGATAAACAACAACAGCAATAAAAAAAAGAACTTTTCTGTCAGTTGATGATGTACCTACAGTGATAACAACACTTGTTAAAAAAACATTTTCAAACAAGTCTTCAAGAATTGATTTTTATTAACTCAAAAATATTTCATATTTCTATTTAAAAAAAGACTAGAAATATGTTATTTTTCCTCCAGTTTGTTCCAGGTTTGCTGTTTCATTACATTCTCTTTTAAAATTATAACAAATATTAACTAATAACTGATGAGGTAATTTGAAAATGTACCTCAACAGAAATACACCTGTGACTCTATGGACAGTTACTGTTAAAGCACACAGTCCTGCTACTGTTAATGCAGCAATATTTCTTATAGTGTAGAGTTAATTGGTGCAGCAGTAGGTTCCAGGCCTGGTCAGAGCTGCAGGGTGGCCTCACTTGAGCCTGAGCAGGTCAGTGGCTGAAGGTCATGTGAAGAAAGCACCATCAGGGCTCCCTGCCCGTAATGACACGGCTTCAGGGGGTGACCTCCCTGACATAGTGGTGACTCGTGACCTTTCTTTTTTATCATCAGGACCTCACTCTGAAGCTCAGGTCCTCACTTCAGCTGGACTCAAGGCAGTGTTCTCTGTCAGCCTTTGAAAAGAAAAAAGTAGATAGTCAAGCTTTGTTAGGAATGTGTACTTGATTTTTTTTGATTATTCACAGGATATACCATTATAAGGAGTTTGTTAATGTTTAATTAGATGCTTTATATCTTCTTTTGAAACTTGTTATGCATTGGCACAAAGAGAAAAGACTTAGGGATAAAGGATTTAGGATCACATGCACAGTTTTTAATGGTGAATCTGAGGTTCAGTGGCTGGCTGCAATCAGACTGTTAACTGAAGGCCTTTGTCTCTTTCTCTATGTTTTGATGTCACTGGTTTACAACAATACAGCATTGATAGATAAGCTCTTGGAAGGATTGTGGCCTAGATAGCCACAACAACTCAGGAGAGCTCTGCTGTAGTGACGAATCCTTGTTTAAACAATGGCAATTACTGTCGTACACAATCATTGTTCTTCTTAAGACAAACTCTGACTTGTGGATTTATTGAGGTAGGCTTCAGTAGTTTTTTTCCACACTGTTTTTGTCAGTGACAGAGATTTCGCCTCCTCTGGACCACTGAGATATGAAGCTTAAGACCGCCCCAGCTTGCAGCTTACAACATACTTGGACATGCAAAAGAAGGAGTGGGTATGATGTTAAAATGTGGTGCTTGAGAGCAGAAGTTAGCATAACACCAAGTTAGTGTGGCTGCAAATGTAGGCCTTTGTTGAGGAGTCCAGCTCTGCCCGCAGAAGCATAAATCTCACTGAGGTTTAGGGCGTTGAAAAACAACAAAGTGGAAAAGTAGCTTGTGCTATATAAAAAGTGAAATGGCAGCTCTGTTGTGGTGTCGAGAACAATATGTCCTGCTAGATTGAAGTTTAACACCACACCAGAAGGCGTCTTCCCGCCCTGCGGTCACAGTGACTGGACGCTAACATGACCCTCACTTTCCAGCACCGAGGCCAACTAGTTGGATGGCACGTGTTTTTCACTGGAGTCACAAAAAAAAGCATCCTGGACACATTCTTTGGCAGAAAAAAAGCATCCAGTCGACATGAGCATGCATTCTTGGCACCGAGTTTCTGAGATCAAACAGTAGTAGAGTACTGCTGTTACTACTGTAACCGGTACAAAGTAGGTTTGAAGAATTATGGAATCAGAAAGCAGCTTTCTTACAGTTTCTTCATGTTTTGGACTAATTTGCTCTTCTACTATAAGGCATTAAAGCCACTGTGTGCTATAACGACGTGTATATTACAGAATTTGTGAAGTTATTGGGATAGATAATATGTTTTGATTTAAAAAAATGGAACAAACCGTTGTCAAATTCATATATTGTGTGGATTTATTCTACGATATCAGACGTTATTTGCGTTACACTTTTTATACGTATTGAATGTAAACAATTTAAAAATGACAGACTCAGTTTAAACAGGAACTTAGGACACACTGTTATAAATAAACAATTAAATGTAATAAATTAACTGACGAAACACCAGACAGGTTAAGTCAAAATGCAGTAAAACAAAAAAGACAATAAAAAACATATATGAGACTTGCTCCATAAATTATGTGGCATCTAGCAAAAGAATTAAGGTTAGGGTTGTGAAATTTTGCAATGTTCCAAAGAATGATTAATGTTTATCAACCCTTAGGATGCTGGCAGGTGGATTTACCTTTAGACTGTGCCAGGTTCTATCCTCCTGTTTACTGTCTTTGTGCTAAGCTAAGCTAACCGGCTGATTTTGGTGGCTTTATATTACCTGTATAGACTTGAGAATTGTATTAATTCTTTCATTTAACTTCGGATAAGAAACGAAAGCGCTGACTTACCAAATCTACCAATGCAAAGGTGGGTTTATGAGGTGGGGTTGTGCTGTACAACTCTTAAATGTAACATGTAAACACAGGTTAAGCGATAGAACAGTGCCCCAATCCACAATGCCACAATACTTATAATTTAATAGTGTCACAATATTTCAAAATCTTGCAAAGGGCATGTTGGAACAGCTTAACGTACTGAAATATGACTAGATTATGATTCATCAAAGCACAATAATATTCTTCCTCTCCTTCCACTGAAAGGTAATACTGCTGACTGCACCAGAATAAATCTTTATTCCGTTCGTCGGAAACAACGGAGTTGGAATTCAATTAAACCGCGAACCTGGCCTTCATTGTCTTTTCGTTTTGTTTTCTTACAGGAGAGGAAAACGTGGGATGATGACATTTTAGTGATTTTCATTAGAGCAGTGTTGATGCAGAGGAAGGATGTGTGGGTGAAAATGGACAATAGTGTGTATGGGGGACTAAAAACAAAAGAATCTCCAACTCTTCTTGTGAGGTTCTCTTACATGAAACGGCTGATTTATGGCTAGAATTTGCACTTCTCAAAACAAATCAAACAAATGAGGGTGATGTTCTTGTAATGACTTTGATCTTTTGGAGCGTGGGTCCCATATGGATACTTGCCTAGTGGCTCTTCTTACCTATTCTTTCAGCACAAAGACAAACGTGACACTGAGGTGAGTCACTGTTCAACTCTCAGGAAAGAAGGAAGGCTTTTTTTTTATCCCAGGGCGGACACAGTGGAGGAGCAGCTTTGAGGGGAGAGGCTCAGGTGGAGGGGGGAAACAATGCGCTTATGCAATGTTATCTCGCAGGAGTTGTCATGTCTAACGTCGTCTTTTTCCCCCCTGCAGATGACAGAGGGCCGTCTGTGCCAGGTTCACCTCCTCGATGGCAGGAAGCTGGAGCTGCTGGTTCAGGTAGCGTTGATTAATTTTTTTGTTTCATTGGCAGGGAGTGGATTTCTCTCAGATGTACATTTGTTTTCCACCTTCTTAATTCTTTCTTGTGTTTTTTTTTTTTATTGCTCCTGTGTTTTATCCTTTCCAGCCCAAGTTGTTGTCCCGTGAGCTGCTAGATTTGGTGGCCTCACATTTTAACTTGAAGGAGAAAGAATACTTTGGACTGTGCTTCATAGACGACACGTAAGTACACTTCCTAACACGAGAAACATTTTAATAACTACAAGGTGAACTGGCCTCAAAGGTAATTCTTGTTTGAGACAAGATGAAAGTGAGAGGGGGGGATGAAAAATGAAGATAACAGTATTGCATCATCTGATTTATTCTTTTATATCTGCTTAGTGGCCAGAATAACTGGCTCCAGCTGGATCGTAAAGTCCTGGATCATGACTTCTCTAAGACTTCGGGGCCTTTGGAGCTCAAGTTCCTTGTGAGGTGAGTCCTCTCCACGTAAAAGCTTGCCAAATGTGGAACAACAGAGTTCTTTATCGGAAACACCAGCCTATAATGATTAATAAAAATCTCTGTTTGACGTATGCAAAGAAGTTGTCTGCAATCAAGGTCTGTTTTGAAGCAAGTTGTTGTATTTGAGGGCCTCTTTAGGAGCCATGGCGTGTTGTAACCAGCAGGTGGCAGTAATGAAACACACTTTAAGTCTTGTGTTACTGAACATGATAAAGTATGTGTTTAATGCTGAAAGGCTGGCAAAAAGACTTTCTATTTCAAATAAGCCTTACTGACCCAAAACAAACTCTTCACAGGTTTTACATTGAGAAGATCACCTTCTTGAAAGACAACACAACAGTGGAACTGTTCTTCCTGAACGCTAAATCTTTAGTGTTCAATGTAAGTGATTTTAAAACATTCATTTTTTAAAAATATGTCTTATGTAACCAAGTTTGCCATTTAATTAAGCTACGAATAGATTGTTCACAATAGCCTCATGCACAGATGCCTCCTCTAACTAATAATCAGTATTCTTGATGGGTAATACTATAGATTCATGAGAAACTGACGGTTAGATAGTCAAAATGATGCACAAATACTAGATTAATCACATGGCTCAGTGTTTTCAGATATAGCATGAATGTCATTTCTTATAGAAAACCCTACAGTGTTTTCATGACTTCTCATGCTCTGTCCTTGCTGTTGCTTTTTGCATTTCTTTGTGCTAATATTTTATTTCATAAGATGCCCGTTTTTGAGTTTGTATGTGTCTCAAAAATATTTCTAAAACTTAAATATACACCTACAGCTCCTTGAGATCACATATAGCAGGATAGCAGAATGATGCTTTCACGTACTGCTGGGAATTTTTCTAGGTCATGGTAAGCTAATGAGGATATTATCCAAGCCATGTGTTCTTGTTTAACATTTATTCAAACAGAACAAAGACCTTATAGAGGAGTGAAGATTAGAGGGGGGGGAAATACATTAAAGAGTGTTACTGCAGACGTGGAGTGCTGAGGGAACGAAACTCTACGAGGAGCACTTGAAGGCAGCGTGTGATCAAACGTTGCAGTGCAGTTTTTTTTCGCGGGGAGAGCAGACTGGTCACCATGGGAGACGGAGACTGTTGAACCTGCTTTCGGACCGTACCACTTTTACCGAGGGGGCTGTAACTTCAGGCAGGGTCTTCAACCAGGCTTTCTGTGCACCGCTGTGCGTTTTACTTTTTAGAGTAAATCTCGGGGTAACTCAGGAGCTGAAACACGCGTTAAATTCTCGCCGGGGACAGTTTTAAACACCGTATTGTCTCTGCGGCAGTGGTTCAGTCGGTAACGGTGGGACCGAGGTACGGGACGGGAAGGTCCACTCTTAAGTCAAGTGTTTCAGGCAGACTGCACTTTGTGTATGTTTTGTAAGAACCTTTGCCAATTTTGACTGTTTTTTACAACAGGAGACCATCGAAGTGGAGAGTGGAAATGTTTTCAAGTTAGCTGCGTTCGCATTGCAGGTAAGAAAGAGTTTGTCGCAGCCGTTTTCAGGCAGAAATTTTGTCACTCACCCGCAAATGTGAATAAAGACAGTCGGGGCACGCAACATTTGAAAACAGTTGTCTCTTGAGGGTGCTGTGGTCGCAACTATTTTCCAAAAAGCTGAACATGTATGTTATTATTAACCTCTAACACGACATTGTACTTCGAGCTGGTGTGTAAGCTTTTAGTTATGAGTTAAATTAAATATGTTGATGTTTAGTCGTGTAACGGTACCTTTGTGTAGATTGTGCAGGTAGCTAACATTAGCATACTGGTCATTCTGATAGTGATATGTTTTCAAATTATGCTATTAATAACTACGTTGTTTTCTTATTTTAAGGAGGCCAAAGGAGATTACACCAGGTAAGAAGTTATCAATGTTGAAATTTAAAAGCTCTTTTTGAAATTAAAGTCTGACCAATAGGTCTTTTGTCACATCAAGTACACTTTTTATTTAAAACATGTTTTCGATAAGAAATGCAGAGTTAATGTGTTTGCATTAAATTGTCAGGCTAAACTGTATATGTTTTTGTCTTTTTAATACATTACTTGTACTAGCATGTGTTGGAGTGAAGAATAGATATAAAGATATAGATGTTTGGCTGTATTGGCACACATACATATTTTTTATGAGCTAGAATTTGCATTTGTCTGCAGATTTTGCACAATCTAGAAGGTGTTTGTTGCTTGATCACAACAAGGAAGCCAGATTGTTTGATCAGTGCTCAGTGTATAAATGATGGCTGTCTGTTAATGAACAACTTGACTTGCTCAGATTTTTGTTATATGTTGGATTTCCCTTAGTTAATAATTCCCTTGATTTTGCTCTTGTGACATTGAACTGAACCCCTGCTGGCATGCTGCCATCCACATGGTCCAGACGTTGCCTTTAATGTTAGAATGTTCTGAGCTGTTCTCACACTGTTGTCCGTCAAGGCAGATGCACTCTGTTTGTACATTTAACATGTGGAAAACAGTGTCAGTTCTTTTTGACATGTTGTGATTGCGTCATCTCTTAGCAAATGTCACATACCCTGACAAACATGGCCTATGTGACACAAGTACAAACACAAGAACACTGTGTGCATGATTTGGTCCATGACACTGGTGGGAGATTTTGTACTAAACCTCCATAATCTGTTCACTTGTGTTGATAGTATTTTCATTGTGGGCCTTGCCCGCAGAGACTTGACCTGCTGATGAGGTATGCCGCTTTTTTTCTCCAGCTACAGGAGTGAAGGGCATTAGCTGCCATTAGTAAACACTGCTCTGCCTGATTGAGTGACTGAGCAAGTCCAAGCAGCAGAACCTGTGGTTGTGCTGTCTCTTTGCTTTGCCTCTAAAGGCCTCTGTGTCCATTATGCAAACACAAAGATTTGTGCTCTGTAAGGAATAGTGCTTGTATGCTTTGAATGGTGATATATGCAATGCTGAAAATGCAGTTTGACCTCTTGTCAAGCCATTGCCTTTGTTCTCTTGCAAAAAAAGAAAAACGCAACTTGGCTGCATCTACTTGTGCTCATTAAGCGCTTTATTATTTACAAGCACGACTGACCTGATATATATTAATTACTCTTTATTACGGCTTCATTAGGGATTTATGCCTCAGTGTTTTGATTTAAAACTGCTTTACCCTGACTTGTAGTGTGCACAGTGCAGTCTAAACTTTCGGATCATGTGGGTGTGGGGTTGGGCTGTACTTTGTTCTGACTCTGAAAGCACAATAAAAGATAACTGGCCAACAAATCTGGTTGAAGCAGTGAGAATGGGAATCTGTCCAAATCAAGCTGTCCTTCTTGTTATTTGCGTAGATGGCCATTTCCTTATGGACATTCTGATAATGGTTTTTAACTTATAAAGTTATAAAACACTTGGCACACATGTTCTGTTTCATTTATCACCTCCTCTGGGAATAGAACTTGTTTCCTTGTAAGGGCAACATATGTAGAAAATGACAAAATAAAGTTGTTTTCTGCAGATTTTTCTCACTTTAGCCCAGCACCCCTCCATCCCACCGCGTTATCTAGTGCTGTTATTGAATTGGTGCATCCACCACTGTCCTGTAGCCATATTTCTCATCCCTGTCAGTGATGTCCTTTATTTCTACTTCTTTGAGAGAACAGGCGCAGTAAATCCCATCATGAAGCGTATGATATAAATGTGTCTCCTCTCACTGTATCAGCAAAGGGTCCTGGAGCAGTAAGATTAGCTGTGGAGGAGTCAGGGAGCCCTCCTCCCACAGCCAGCTGCCTTAAGAGGGATGAGCCAGACCGACTGTCCAATTGCAGACAACTTGGCGTCAGGAGGACTCACTGTAGTCATGTTATTGTGGCCGTGTGGGCCGACCCCCTGCTGTGCATTGAATTAATGCACCATCAGGTTTCCCATTGTACTCCTAATGTGTTAGAATTCCCTTTGCTGTGTTCGTATTGCATTGGATCTTGTGTTGCCATACTGATTCACACTTTATTGCTTTTGCTTTCACCACCTGCAGTTATAATCCACAGCTGAGTGCAACATGTTGCAACTGTTCTCTGGGGGTTGATGGAAAGCGTTGTGGAAAACACTGATTTGATTAATGTCTTTAATTATACCTCACAGCTTTAAGAGCTACTGGGGGAATTTCCTTGTATGTTTGTATTCACTTTCAAAGTGAGCTTCAGATATTATTCTGTTCAAATGCATGATCTGCAAGTGATTCTAAATTCACTTGAGTGTCAGTTGGGTTCGAGATGTACCACACATGAACCAATATTACACCCAGACAGTTTTCGTCCTCAGTTCTATTTGCAGGTGTAGCCTGTAGTTAGTGGTTCATTCACAGCAACCAGCTCTCTCATTGTGCTCCCTTCGAAGTCACCATGTCTCAGCCCTATGGAATAGCTGACACATGAGCATTATGTCTCCCACACTGGGTAGGCTGCACTGGGCTGGGCTGTACCGGGTGTAGGAATCGCCCCCACGCTGCAGGCTGCGGGAAGATAACAGACGTAGTAATGAATTCCAGATTGCTGACACGGCAGCGCGGCTGCAGAGTAGATCACCCCGACAACACCAGGGCCCAGCTCCCCATAAAATGTATGCCATCAAACACACAACTAAGTGCCGTGGCAGCAAAACCCAGTCAACCTAGGAGAGGTAGCTACAGGGAAGAGTGATTCAAGTGCCTCTGCCCTTGCAGTGGCTTACCCTTGTTTTTGTTTAGTAAGCTGGTTCACATAACTGAATCATTATGGTTCTATCATGCCACGTCAGAGGATGTTAAATTCATTATCTTTGAAGAAGAAGAGTTAAACTGATGCCCACAAAGTCAACACAAGGTCAAATGGCTTTTAGCTTAAAATCATCCAGTAGTCTTACTTTATTATGCTGAGGTTGCTATAGACTGAACTGGTACAAGAGCTGAGGATGTTGTAATAGCTTTATATTACATATGGTCCGACCTACACATTGAAGTCCTGTCTGAGAGGCCACGGACTGTTTTGTAACAGCGCCGGCCCATACAATGCTTTTCAACACAGGCAGAGGCTGCCAAGTGCTTGTGAATGGCTTTTGTTCAGGTCTCCACTGGACTGGCCCGCCAAGCCAGAGCTGTTTTTGTCCAGCAGAAACTGTAGACCCAGTGCTCCCTCCTACATGAGGTTGGAGTGGCTCATACTTCATTATCACAGACCTTGACAGGGACAAACACCACAATTTGTCTGTACAGATAACCTGGTCAGTCATTTGTTTATTGCAGAACTTTGAGCGTTTGTAAGGATCTTGTGAGGATCGTGTAGGATCATTTAATATACTGTTGTTTACCTACATACTATAGCATAACTGTGAGATATATTACTGCAGAGAACCTGCATGAAAGATTTCTCTACAAGTCACTTGAAAGGCGCCTTATGACTTAAAGCCTCTGCACGTGCTTTTGTAAACTAAGCCTGGCAAGACATGAGTGAAGCTCAAGTTTAGTCTTGGCAAGCAGTTAAGAGAAGAAAGATGAAAACAATAACCTGACACTGTACTCTTTCATAAGGTTTGCAAACATGAATTATTGCTGTCATGCCTTATGATAGAAATTTAAACCACACCGTGAAAGTACGAACACGTGAAGAAATTTCTCCAACACATTTTTAGACTTTGTAAACATTTACCTTTTCTGTTCTTATGTTCTGCATGCTGGTATGTAGCACTCATTTTAAGGTCATATTAGAATACTCTCGACTTCTGAATTAGATTTTCATGTACAGGAAAACTACATAATTAAGCCATAATGTGTGGAAACAGACCATTGTCAATTACCAGTGCCTTGCTGTGACACTGAACAGATCTAGAAAGGATATTGGTATTGGAACTGAACACATTTACTGTTTGTAAAGTTTGTATGTGCTTTGTTTTTCAGTGCTGACACTGCCACATCGGACCTGAAGCAGCTACCAGTCCTGCCCACCAGAGTATTAAGGGAGCACCCATCTCTCAATTACTGGTAAGATATCTGCGCTCTTGGACAACCACAAAAGGAATGAGGGTGAGGGGTCTGTGGGTTAGTTCTGAGTAGTCTGTTGGGCTTCGAACAATACAACGGCCCTTCCTTTATAACATATAATTAAAATTCAGCTGTGAAATGTCCCCACAGGTCAGAAACGCCAGGTTATGCAAAGCAGGCTTTCCCCCAGAAGAGCAATTTTAGGTGTGAAGGTGCATACAGACCTGACTGTTAGTTAGCAGATGGGTTTCGCACTGATGGGGTGACTCATTAGTGCCTGGGTTGTGTTAATTATGTTTGCTCATTAGCCCTAAGAGAGCACAGGGAGGTGCTGACTGTCTGAAAGATTGCTGTCTGTCTCTTTATTCCACATTGCTGTTGTTGCACCTCTGCTTGCCCCGTCTCTTGGTCATCTGAGGCTGCAGCAGACTTGAGGCAGATCCATCGGTTTAATGTCCTAATTAAACTCACAGTCTTGTGGCGGCCACACGTGCACATCTGTCTGTCTCTCTTTATGTCTGTTAGGCCGCAGTGAGTTTGCAGTGTCGCTGTGCTGTTAAAAGAGATGATTACAGTGGGAAGTAAATGGGATGCATTTGCGGTAGAGGTAGATGGAAGCCATCAGCAGGCCAGTAGGGCAGACTGCATTTTCTGCATGAGCAGACAGAATGTGTGTCAAAGAAAGGGCCCTCTCACAACAATCCCTCTGTGGCTAGAAAGTGTTACACTTGATGGATTATTCATTAAATGTTTTATCTATCCATTTACAGTGAAGACAAAGTAATTGAACATTACAAGAAGCTGAAGGGACTTACCAGAGGACAAGCCATTGTACAGTAAGTCATGCAAACAAATATAGTATTTTTGTATTTTAAAAATGATTTGCACATTTTATCCCCATGTGTCTGCACTCTGGTGGCTGTTGTTAAAGAGGTGGCTGTCACTATGCCAGAATGTGTCATTAATTAGAGGAGGTGCTCTTAAAGTAGGCAGCCAGCCAGCCTTGGGGAGGATGTCAGTCCTCTACTGTGTTTTTCCCCTGACTGTAACTCTGTTCAACCCTGGCTATTTTACGCTCAGATGATTTGTGCCCTTGAACTGATCAATGGACTCTCCCTCCCTCTGTCATGGCCCTGAAACAAATCGATCAGCTTGCCACTGCAAATGACTGTGGCTTCTCAATGACTGTAGCTTAAATCCCACTCTGTCTGTTGTACAACAGCTACGAGATGACAGTGATGAAGTGTAAGTGGCTGGATTCCTGTTAACCTGTTCCTCTTTCACTGAAGGTATCTGGCCCTGGTGGAGTCCCTGCCGACATATGGAGTCCATTATTACCAAGTGAAGGTAACAGCAGTGCCCTGAGTCATACAGTAGCTTCACCCTTGAATGAGCTTGTGTCAACATATTCAGGTTGCTTTCTGCATCTAATCCAACGCATCAATCTAACCCTTATTTACTTATTTATATGCTTGAATCATAAGCCTTTCCCTAAAGTGTTTGCTGCAGCTAAGGCAACAAAACATGTATGTTACAGTGAGAGCATGCAGATCCATGCTCCCTCTGGTAGGGTGGTAAGAGAATGTGACAAACTGGCTTATTCCAAAATTAAACCTTAAATCATTCAAAAGAATTAGGCCAAATGTGGACGAAACCATTGCAGCATGTTGACTTCAGCATTTTTTAAAGGGTTCATCCATTCAATTCTTCTTGCGTTTACACACATCCACTGACTTTTTCCTACCAAACCCTATTAAATCAAGGTGTCTAAGGAGATCAAACACCAGCGTTAAAATGACTTTGTTGGGCTTGCAGAGATTTTAAGGCCTATAATGCATTTGATCTGTTCTCGTGTTGCTATTGCTGTGAGCCTAATGGGGTAATTGCGTTGGTAACAGGCCTGTTTTCTTTTTTTTTTTTTCTTTTTTAAACTCCCACCAATAAAGCTACCTCTAATGAGTGGTGTGTGTGTGTATGCTTTCATGCAGGACAAGCAGGGAATACCGTGGTGGCTGGGAGTCAGCTACAAAGGCATCGGCCAGTACGATTTGCAGGATAAGCTGAAACCAAGAAAGGTAGGTTGAATTTTTGTATTTTTTTCTAACTGCCTCAGTTGCCTCAGCTGTTTCAGTTTTCATCTGAAAATGTGGGATTTCAATACCAAACTAAACCACTTCAGATACTATGTCTGTTTGTTGTTTTTTTGTGTGTGGAGGTTTTTTCTCATCTTTGTCAAAGATTTAAGGGTACAGGGCCTCTGGGACTAACTTCGGGTGTGTGCGTCATAAATAAACTTGATTCGGTTTTCTTACAAGTGACATCTGATACACCAGCAAGTAAATCATCAGATGCAAAGTTACCAGCAAACTTTGTGAAAGTATGTAATATTGAGAGTCATTGAAGTAGTTTAATTGTCAGCTAAAACCCCAGCTTTCATCCACACGTTTCTTGTTAGCTAGTTAATGATCCATCCAGACTGTAAATAGGCGTAATTAAGACCCTGGTTCCCATGCCAGTCAGGAGAAAGAGGAACACAGATGGGGAAAATATTTTGGAGTGGCAGTATGTACTCAGTGCAGTCAAGGCTGTAAGTGTAAGAGCAAATACACTAAGAACCAGTACTGGCAAGAGTGGAATGAACAGTTGTAGGGATTATAAAACAGCTCTACTTGCTGAGTTTAAAGGGGTAAATGTACAAATACTTACACTTGGAAAAAAATGTGCAAGTCAATTTTTTGTACCAGTGTAATGTTGTAGCTGGTTGTGTACCACAAGTGTAAAAAAAACAGTTAAACAATTATCATTAGTGTTTCTTTTACACTAATACAGACTTAATTCATTTTAAAAAATGGTTTCTTAAAATATCAGACTCTACTTTTTAGCTCCATGGTGGCTCTTGGTCATTTCAGGAAATATGTAACGTAGAAAACTTTACAGCTCCCGCGCCTTAAGTTTTAAACGTGTGTACTGTGTGGCTGTGATTCCCGTCCCCCTCGTTTGTGAGGTGCTATTTAGGAATATCCCAACCTAGTGTTACTCGGCAGCCACTTTCATTAGACTCATCATAGCTGTTGTTATATGGCAGGGTGTTGACATAGCAGGGTGTGCTGTTACACTGAATACCGGAGCATTAATGGGCACAGGCAGAGCGCCTCTCCCCAGCCCTCCTAGTGGAGGTGTAATTATGGTGCTTCGTGGGAAGCTGCAGGGCATTAGGACCGGGGACTGGCACACTGCCAGCTGAGTGGCTGGGTCGTTGTTTGGTGTTCAGGGACAGCAGTGAGTGTGTTGGGGTGCTACAAGGGTTCATCAAAACTAGACTGTGCCTTTTCTAACTCAAGGAATAGATAGGCACATGAGAAACTCAAGAGTTTCCTGTTGTGGGAAAAAATGTTGCCTCTTTAAATGACCTTTTTTGTTGCTCTTGCTGATAATTGGATGTGTGCGCCTACTTTCCTTTTGCCTTAAAGGGAGACCTCTATATCTGGGGAATATTGATAGTGCTTCCTGTCTTAGCTCACAGCCCCTGTATTGAGACCAGCCCATCCCTCCTTGCCCTCTGCCCTGCCCCTCTCAGCATGCTGCATTCATTATGGTAATCTATGAGTGTGTGTCTTGGAGGGAACACAATTGATCAAACAATACAAAACAGTCATCTGCAGAGGGGGCTAGGCCTGGATTTAGCATTAGTAGTAGTGGGAGGTCGGTTGACCACCAGTGCAGTTTGGGATATTTTTAATGCAATACTCTGCAAAGGTTTCATACACTCAGAATAAAGTGAGGATGCTACATGATGCTAGTTTTAATCTATTAACGTGTGGTAAACAGCACAAAAAAATAAATAAATCATTAGCTGGTGTGATCATCCTTTAAAACTGTTGGAGGGTGGCTGTGTGTTTAGCTTCGTTGTCACGTGGCAGAATTAATTTGGGTCCAGTTCGATGCCTCCCTGATGGTACTGCATGATAAATAGGAATCTAAACATTGGAAGTAACTAAAACTTTTGCTCAGTGCTGTATTTTTTTTTTAAGTTTAGTAAATATCTTTGAAAGCAATAGGATAGCTTAACCTCATATTATCTTCTCTGCATGCATGCCAGCTTGATCACTCCTGACTGAATAGCCTGCAACTCAAAAGCTCCGTCTCCCTGCTGTGCTTGAGAGAAGTGATACTTCAGTAAAGTGAATACCCTGTCATTTCCATTATGCATAGATGCAGCGCATATGAGCATGTAGATAAAAAGCATAGATTATGTATCCCAAAGATCTGAAGTGAACATAGGAGAGAGGAAAGATGCAACATCACTGCATGTTCAGAAGGAGGATTAGAAACTATTCAGTATGCAAAATGAAAATTGAGCATCACAGCAGTATGTGTTTTTTTGGGAAATTTGATGGGGCTGAAGTGGATCACAAGACTGACTTTCGCAAGACTCTGCTGTCTGTGCTTCTCTCTCTCTGTCACTTGGGCTCTCTCCCAGCATGTAATGAGACACTCTTTAAGACCACATGCTGGTCCAGATATATGGTGAGCCAGCAGAACCAAAACAAATCTTCAGTTTATCATGAACGTCAGCCTGGGGTAATAATGACATGATATGAAAAGACCTGAAAGAACTGAAAGGTGTCTTTACAAGAAAAATAAAGAATGTTTTAATAAAAACTGAACTGACATTCTCCCTGCTCACATAGATTTTTTTATCCAACTTCCCCTTTCATGAATAAAAACTGGATAAAGTTCCTTCCGGTATCTTTCTCCTGTCGCATTTTCACAATTTTCTGCCGTGTGTCATGTTGTGGAAACGTACAGCGTTGCCAACCAGCCGGTGTTGGTATGTGACGTGCTATGCGAAGGGTGGGGCAGATCTTTTTCTGTACAGACATGTGAGTCAGACCCTTTGACACGTTTTCATCCATTTATGATTTTGTGCACTGGTGGCCCTGGGGGTCCTTGGGTTGCGAGCGAGATCTGGATCTGAACAGCCTGATCCCAGCTGAAACCACAGGCATTTCTGGCACACTTCCACCTGCCTGTAACGAGACATTTGTTGAAAACAAGGGACATGTACATACACAAGACACAGAAATTTTGTATACTGTTACGCTGATCTTTCCTTGTTTTAAGAAAATGGTTACTTTCGTTTACTCTACGTGAGGTGTAATGAGTCACTGAATGATTTCTTGGACCGTTTCCGTTTAAATGGACTACTGGCAGTCTTGTGATTGTAGTGTTTGAGGTGTGTCACATCCTTATCATATTTTAGTCACACAGCAGAGTCTTCTATTGGTTTCATCCATGCGCTGCTACACAGTGTAGAGTTTCACTAATAGGATGAAGGATCCAGGGAAAGTGTGTGTTTACTGGGTAGACCTTTATTATCTGTTATTACTATGTAAATGATGCAGAGTGATAGCGACTGGGGGGTGTGAATTAGTGTGAGGTTCCCTCCACAATGAGATTAGGTTTTTGGATGCGTCCTGCCGGCTGGTTCCCTTTGTTCATTAAGTACAATGCTCTTCCTCTCATCAGCACACTCACTAAAGAGTGCAGTACTGGCTGCAGCAGCACATGGAGTGATCCACCATGCTGATACCCTGTATTAAATAGCGTTTATAATACATACAAATCATCTGGTGTAGAACTGAGATTTCAGTTTGTCAGCTAATGTAAGTAAAATCAGTTAAAAACTCTGCTCTGTGCTCACTTGTCTTTACTTGATGCCTGCTATTAATGATTACACTGTAGTAACATATTGCTTACGTGTTTGCCTGGTGGGGGGGACGCTTGTAGTAGATTCAGCTACAGAACAATGCTTTAGTGGTATTTAGAATATGAAAAGCAGAGAACTTCCCGGATTACATGTGAAGCAGCGATGGGAAGTAGAGCAGAGGTGAAATGTCTTTAAACATGGCAAAAAACTGGCTTAGCAAATACTTGTCTATAACCTGCTCATCTGGTCTGACTGAGACGGAAGAGGGCTGTATAGGAGAGAGAGAGAGAGCAGCGCAGAGCAGTACAAAGCCTTGAAGGAAGCGTGAGGTGTCCGTGATGTCAGAGCAGGAGGAGGGGTTGGTGGTTGAGGGGGTGTGGCCATCTCAGCTGAAACTCTTGCAACACCTATCTAGATCCCTGAGAACAGACAAGAGAGAGTATTGTTCGAGGAAGCTCTAGCCCTGTGGGAAACTCAAAGTCAAAGGATTCAATACAAACCCAAGTGAATTCCGCAGGGATTTGATAAGCGCAGAAATACCCTTCACGGTAAGCAATGTTATTGTGTCCACCAGTTACCTGTCAAGCTGATTTAAATAGTTTTCAGGTTTTTGGCTCCTTGTGTGCTTCTTTCAATGGCTGCTTTAGTGTGGTGCGTTTTAAATGATATATACAGGCACTCTGTCTAACACTGTTGTAAAGGAAGATATGTAATGTGCTTTGAATTCAGCGAGCGCGTTTGTCCGAGTGGAATTGGATGTGTCAGCTCATGGTGATTTCTTACCCAGAGCACAATCTCTCTGTAGTTTGGAGCGTTTATGTTGTCAACTTCTATGTTGGTTATCAGATAAAGCTGTTTTTGTGAACATTAATCTCAGCCCGAGTGTTTTATCTTTTCTTTCAAAATGAGAGCCGGGAAGTGCTGTTCACAGGCAAGTGCCTCCAAATCTGTTTAGTTAACCCGCTATCAGTGGAGCAGATGTTTCATTCTGACACCGAGAGAAGTCCTGCCTCTGTTTTCCTCCACAGCAGAATGAAATGAGGAGCTGGCTTTCCGCCTGGCATGATTTTACTCCCTGCAGTTGCAGCAGCATTATAATTGCTCCTGTGTTAGCCCGAACTTACACCTGACTGGCTGGCCTACTGAGTCCCATTCACAGCTTCAGCTGCTGTATTGTGTATATTGTAAGCTGTTCTAAAAGGCAGGCTGCTGTGGCTGAAACAAAGCCAGTTATTTTAATACCTGCCTGCCCGCTGTGCTGTCTTTTAGCAAAGATTGAACCCTCTCATGTGGGAAGCTTCTAGTTTTTCTGAGTAAATTGATGTGAATGTGTGTTATACAGCTGTAGTATATCAAATGACTTTTCTGTTTATGTACTGTAATTCCACATTTCAATCAATAGTCCTCTGTTGGCTTGTGTACTCAGTGGTGTGTAATGTCTCTCTACCCCTCCCTCTCTGCCTCTCTGCTGAACCGTCTCTATCTCTCTGCAGTTGTTTCAGTGGAAGCAGTTGGAGAATTTGTATTTCCGCGAGAAGAAATTTGCAGTGGAAGTGAACGACCCACACAGGTCAGAAGACAAACCACTTAATTCATCTCAACTGATCTGCTTTCCCTGTGTTTTGAAGTGTTCCCATTTTAGCTGCTGCTCTTGCTTCAGATGTCCTTATCCTCCACCTTACGTACTGTGAAGGGCATCTGCAGCCAGTGGCCCATTTAGGACACCTTGTTAATGGCTTTAACCTATCTGTGAAATGAGTGTTTTCCTGCGGTTCAAGGAACACTTTATTATTCGAAGGTCGGTGTAAGACCTCTGCCCTTCACACAGGCTTTAATGTGGCACTTCAAGCTTCTAAAGCTGTTATTAAATCCCACTGACTGTTTCATGTTTAAAATTGCTACTCATCTCTCTTGAGTATATTATTACACAAAGACCCACAAAGTTTAATTGGATTTAATGATAATTCTTTTCTAATCTTTGCTTAACGCATCTTTTTTATCTTAATTAAAGCCTTGTTTATCTACCATCAAGTGTTTAGTTTTTTGTGTGCAGCAACTGAACAGATTTGCTTCTTGCATGAGTACATGTACAGACTGTCTGTCTTATTATGCTCCACAGAAGAACAGTGACCAAGCGAACTTTCGGACAGACTGGGCTGGTTATTCACACATGGTATGCCAGCCACTCTCTGATTAAAACCATCTGGGTGATGGCCATCAGTCAGCACCAATTCTACCTGGACAGGAAGCAAAGCAAAGTGAGTCTGGCTGCTGTCCCCTACCTGATTCACATTGCCTTGTTCACATTCTCTACCTGCTCAAATATTGTTTAAAAAAACACAATCTATTTTTACACTGATTTTTTTACACTGTGTGACACATTTAGAGAGCATGCTGAGCGTCTGGTGACCTGCACAGGTGGCCCACCTAGTGATCAGGGTTAGACCTGTGTGTGTGTGTAATGTAGGTCTGACAGGGCAATGCTGCAAGGGAAAATAACAGGCTGCTTTACAGTTTGTCAAGCAATGTGACCATGTTAAGAACATAATTTTGGGTGATAATATTCATTGCCGTCTGACTGATGTCAGGCTGAGCCATGGAGTTGGCTTGTAAAATGAGTAGCTTCTAGACACACAGAGGTTGTTATTCTTTTTTTCAGTTTGAAGCGGAACATACAGCTTTTAAAAGTTATGTTGTGTCACAGCCTCTTGTCACGCTGATTCTCCATCATGTGATGCACTGCCTGATTCACGTCTCCCGTGACCTCTGTAAATGCATTGACAAAGGGATATTCCTGACTTTCAGTTTTAGAATGAAATTGGTTCCACTCGGGTTAGCTGTATGATAGAACATTGCTTGGTCCTTATAATAAAAGAAATATCTTCGCAGTTATCTAATGTACCTCCCTGCTTCACTTTAACAAGGGGGGGGTAGATAACGAGGAGGCTGGAGTTGAAATTGAAAAGAACAAAAGCTTGTAATTGCTGTGGAGGAAAGGTTTTTTTTTTATCACTCTGTAGATATAATATTCAGAATAATGTTGTAGTATTTTGGCTGTTTTTGCATTTGGCTGCGGCTTAAGAGGAAACACTCAAAGTAAACCTCAATGTGCTATTTAAAATGTGTGTTTAGTGTGGAAGGCAAACGTGGTTTTTATGACTGTGCCATTAATAGCTGGGAAAGGCACATTGTATTAGCACCTTAATTCCTTGTGCAGGCGGTAAAACCTCACCAATGCCCTGAAGATACACTCGAGCCTCATGTGTATGTATTGATGATGCATATTTGCTGAGCAGCGGGGCTATTATACAGTATGAGTAGTGTGTGATGTGCATTTTGTGGTGGAGATGGATGAGCGTGTGTGGCTGCAGTCAAATGAGGTTATTCAACCACTGTCTCTCCCGAAGGCAGATGGTGTGTCAGTGATCATCCAGGAATAGAGCCTGCACTGATTGATGAGAGAGCAATGCGCTTCGAGTACCAACCATGCAAATGCAGTCGTTATCGCAGTGCGCTATCATTAAAACGAAATACTCCCAATTCCTCCTTCGCTCCATTCCCCTCCTCCTTTTTTCCTCCTACTCACCTTCTCTTCCTTCACCTACAGTCAAAGATGACCACAACCAGGAGTTCAGGAGACATCGCCATGGACCTCACAGAGATCTCTGCCCCACGTATCAGTAAACTTTCCAGTATTGAGAGCAAAGATCAGCTAATAATGGCTAGCAATGGAAGCCTCATCTCAGCTGGTAAGCAGAGAGTTAATCAGCTAATGACTTCTGTTTCACATCAGACTGATGAGTGATGATTTATGGCTATAATTTGTAGTTAATCAGACGTGTGCGTATTTCAGGTTCTGCTGACTCCGAAGTCAGCGAGGAACAGAAGAAGGAGAAGATTTCTGAATTAAAAAAGAAAGAAAAGGACCTTCAAGACACACTGACGCAGAAACTTGAAGAGCTGAAAAAGATCTGCATGAGAGAAGCTGTGAGTATCTCTCTCGTTTGATTTGCTTCCTGAAGTGTCCAAACTCTCAGCTGACTGTTGGTTATTATTCTTCTCTGCAGGAGCTTACGGGCAGGTTGCCGAAAGAGTATCCCTTGGCCACTGGTGAGAAGGCTCCTCCAGTTCGACGTCGTGTTGGGACAGCCTTCAAGCTGGATGACCTTTTCCCGTACGATGAGGTTAGTATAGATATTGTTGCGAGGTGTTTTTTGTTATGAGATATTACCGTCTGTTGTGTAATTTGGCAGGACACACCATGATTTCACCACTGTGTTTACCAAGAGATTATTTCAATCAGCTGACTTTGAAATGAGGATTAAGTGTGAGGTGTGAGGTATATATTGCATAATGTTTTGAGTGAAACATTATGTTGTGACTGTGGCTTGTTTCCATCTGCAAGTCAGCTGGAAGGATGAATACGAATGGAAATATAAGTAAAGACTAAAAGTAGGCTGAAAATGTATGTTTGTAGGTAAATTCCGTGTTTTGTCTATTAACTCGTGTTAGGGATGTTTAAAGTCTGTGTCTTTGGTCACACGATCTGTGTATCTTTGGGAAATTCCCTATCAACTGTGTGAGCGCTTGTGTGTTTCTCCACAGGACCCACATCTGAGGAATCTGGAGAGCAGGTTTGCCTTGCAGCAGAAGATTGTGGAAGCAGCCATGAAGCTATCCAATGAGGGCGACCTCTGCAAGACGGTGAAGAGGAAGAGGAGGAACAACTACCTGGATGCTATGAGGAAGCTGGAGGAGATTGAGAAAGAGATAAACGCCTATAGGATCAAGAAAGGGAAGAAACCCACGCAGAGAGCCTCGCTCATCTTAGCAGGTAGATTTCATAAACAGTGAAAACCGCTTGCATATCAAAGCCTCATAGTTACATACAAGACTGTGAGTGGAAATGGTTTATCAGGGGTGTTTCTGAGGACCATTTTCTCTCTTCTCTTACCAGATGATGTCCACCCTTCAGACCTCAGCTCTCTATCTGACAGCCTCACTCTGGATGATGGTTAGTGTGCCCAGTGTGCATGTATTTGCTGCATCATCACTTTCTCAACTTAAAATTAAAAAAAAAATCTGTTTTACTTAAATGATACTTTTATCTCCCAGATGATGAGCTCGGTTCCCAGAGGCAGAGATCTAGATCAGTCCAGTACTCCCCAAGACCACACCATGCAGAAACTCTGGATATTCATTACAACAACAAGGACAGACGATCCTCTGCCAATGACCAGCTTTCAGACAACAGGTATACAGCTAGCACTGACTCTCATGGAGCATATCAATATTTTTTAATTTCAAGTGTTTGTGTGACTACACAGAAGGCACAGCGTGAGCAGCGGCAGCTACACAGAATGCATTCAGGCACAGTGTTTTCATGTTTTGGTAGCGGTTAGAGATCAGCACATAGTCAATGTAACTGTGTGTACAATCCAAAAAAATAAAAATATACTTAGGACCGTGTTTTGAGACATATAGTGCAAGCAAAACGTTGCAGCCTGTGACACCGCGGGATTGATTAGAATTAATTGAAATCTGTCCCATCAAACACAGGTGACGACTGAAAAACATGGCTGAAACGCTGTCTGTGTACATACACCGTGACTGTTGTTTTTCTGGAGACTCAAATTATGGAGCTAGTACAGACCTGTAGAGTAGATCCAGAGCTGCATTCCTGCCAGTCACCTCCTCCCTCCTTCTCCTGCCTCTCCAACAATCTCCTTCTTATCAGCCCAAATGCACCGGCTTTAAAAATAGATGGAAAAAAACATGTCGCTGCCTGTGAAGGAGCACACAACAATCCCAAGCTGAGAGGAGAGAGGAAAAGGGAAACAGGAAAGAGGTGCTGGAAATTTTAAACAGCAGCTACTGCAGAGGAGTGTTTACAAAATAATGCAGGTGATGTGTTACTGTCGGCTTCGGAGATTTAAAATCATTTTTAACAGCCGTAGTGCTTGCTGTTGCATGAAAAGAAAGATCCATGGACGATGTAACGGCAGTCATTCAGGTGTGAGCAATGACTAAAGTGCCGCAGTCAAGCAAACACATTTTTCTTCTCCTTGAATTCTGAGAGCATGTGTAGAGAGAGTAATAGTATTAATCTCGATAAAAAAGGCTCTACCCTGAAGAGATGAATGCCCTGAAAACATAGTTCTTATCTGTGTTCCAGATTAAATTATGGCCAAGTCCAGGAATTGCTCCACTACAATCACAGTGATGCCTTATCAAGCTGCAGCAGCCCGTTTAAACCAGCTTCCAGACAGCCACGTGATGCCCGCAGCATGCCCCCCACTCCCCTCCTCACCCGCAATGCATACAGCAGCACACAGCTCAGGTAAGGCCTCAGAGACAGACTTTATTTTTCGTATTTTTCTTTCTGTTGTCTTAAATTCTGGTTCATGAACAACTGTAATGTGTTTTGGTGAGTCAAAGCACAGCTGGTAAATTAATCATGATTTTAATTGTAGATCAGAGGATGCTCCACAACATTTCCGTCAGCGCAGTGGGAGTCTGGAGTCCCAGTCTCAGTTCATGACGGAGACCAAATTGCCTGTACCAGCTTTCACTGTCTCTCCAGCCCGACGCAGCAACAGCACCGAGGTCCTTGATGACGGCTCCTCCTACACAAGCCAGTCCAGCGTCGAGTACAGTGTTCCCGGTAACCACACCCATAGGCGCAGAGCTCGCGGGCGCCACAGAAAAGACTTGTACGCCAACACTGGCAGCATGCCCAACCTGGCTCAGCCAGACACCCGGGGCTATGCCTACCAGCCTCGGGCCAGACCCACCACAACAGCCTACTATGTCACAGGCTATCCCAGCTACGCAGAGCCAGAGCCTTACTCCAATGGAGTCTATGTGTACGACAACGAGATGGAGGGCCATTATAATGTCAACCCCTCCTATCACCAAACCCAAACAGCTTATCACGGCCATGACATGCACAGTCACTACGGTAACGATGAGATAGATGGTATATCACAGAACCCATATGCCACGCTGCGGCCCCCGAGGAACCGACCGGTGCCCCGCGGCACTGAGCAGGTCAGCAAGAACATCCAGAAGGCCTTGGTGGCTGAACACTTGAGAGGCTGGTACCATCGCAACGCTGCACAAAAACAGGCTGCGTACAACTACGACTACGACAGAGGCTCCCAGCACAGCTTGGGCTATCAGACCATGCCTACACCCTACAGCCACAACAACAGGAACATTTCCTACTCATCAGGTTAGACCACTGCACCGTGTGTTACAGTCTCCTGTGTATCATGTCATTGACCCTGGTTTCAAATGTTAGTGGCTTGTTTGCTAACTTGTACCATTTTTCCAGTGTCCTCAGTGTCCTCCAGTGGAAACTGGCACAGCCACATGAGCAGTGGGGATATGTTGGAATACGACATGCCCACGCATGCTCCGCAGTCCTACTCATACAGTGCAGCCCCCTACAGCCACCCCGCCCACAACAGGTGAGAAAAAAAAAACTTGGCCTCAGCTCTTCTCCTTATCCAATAAGCCACTCCCTGATCCTCCTTATCCCCCGAGCTAAGCACTAGTGTTTAATTACCAACAATGAATGACTACAGAAATTATAAGCTGCTATTGAGTTTTGCTATCCCTTACACTTAACAATACTGTGGATTAATGTCTAGGAAATGTTGCTTTTTTTTCTTCAACTTCACCTTTAAAGTATGAAACAGAGTCCACAGACATCCAGCTATTTAATATGACAGCTTGGTTCAGCAGGAGGATTACAGGATCTGTGCTGCCAGCAGTCACTTCTTCCTCGGAGCTTAAGAATGGTTCTGCTCTCCCTAACTGTCCACCGGCCCCTGCTTTCTTATAGATATGGCACCTCCCAGCTTTTTAAGGGCTCCTGGCACAGCCCTGATGGCCAGAGGCGCTGCGCCTTTTACCCTGCTAGTTCTTCCTCCTCCGGTTCCCCCTCCACTTCCTCCCTGCCCTCCTCTTCCCTTCCCTCCTCCTCCTACTCCCCTGGCTGTCGGGTCAGGCAGGTGACCTCCAGTCCTTCGCAGCCACAATCCTCCCGAGGCCACAGGCTCAGTAAGGTGTCCTTTGCTAAAGGTAGCTCATAGTAAGTAAACAGCAGTGGCCGGAGCCTGTGCGTTTGCCTCTTTCAGTGTGTCTGCAGCGTGACTCCATGGTCTGCTTGTTGTTGTTTTGGAGTGAACTTTGCATTTTTGAGATGTCTCGATGTTTTGTCATGTATGATAACATAACTGCATGGCTTCTTTAAAAAAACATGCCTGCCCTACTTCCTCTTCCAGCTGGTATTTTGTCATCCAGTGGTCACATTTCTCTGCAGTGAGCCTTTATTGCTCTGTTGTTTTTTTTCTTCTTTTGTTTGTTTGTTTATTGTTCTCTGCTGTTTGCCATCTTCTTGGCCCACGCAGAGGCTCCCTGCCAAAGTGCTGCCATTCACCCTTGACCTTTTACACCCTCTCATGCGCAGATACCCCCCAGAGTGGCGAAGTTGTGATAGGATGTCGTGCCCTTCGGGGCTTTTAGAGAGATGTGGTGCTGTTGCCTATGCACCTGACCAGGAAAATTAGCCCCCTCACCCCAATAATCAGAGTCACAACACAGAAAAAAAAGGGTGAGACAAGAATGTGATACTACCCCACATGGTTATCATGGTGACGGTGATTGTTGTTTGTGGCAGGGGCTGGCAGAAAGCACCAAATCATTTCTTATCACTCTCTCTGATTCGTTTCTCTTGGTGTCTTGCGGTGGTGGGAGAGCACTTGTGTGGCAAAGGGAAAAATGTGACCCCTGAATATCGTTGCATTTGAAGGCTATGCGTGTGTATAATGCCTGTGTGCGCCTGCTATTTCACCGGATGAGAATGTTTGACCCTGGCTTTGATACTGGCAGCAGCATGAACTTGCCTGAAACACAGATGGACACGTCTGCTCTTAGTTTAGTTTCTGAACTTGGTGCCAAAGCCCAGGGTTAATTCATTCCACCCTTGATTAACCAGTCACACTCTGCATCCAGCTAGCAGCCTAATGTGTTTGAATTTTGTGTGTTTATTACAGATCCTACCTAGATGTCAGCCAAATGGACTCACACATCAGCAGCCAAATGCACACCAACATGGACCCAGAAGACCAGATTTATTGGCACGAAGACTCAAAACCAGGAACAATAGTTTAGTTACCTGTTATCGTGCTGTGAAATTTTTTTTTACCTTGACAAGTTGTCATTGTGCCTTAGACTGCACTTACCTGTTTTTGTGTAAAGGGGACCCAAAGAATGAAGGAACTTGGCTTCTGTGGAACTCGGCGTGTTCAGCAAATGAAGTATTCTCATTTTCAGTTCTCTTGAATGCAGATGCCAAACTCACACACACACGACGCTGTATTTAAATCACAACCAAACCCCGCGGGAGTGTCTACATGTCGGAATTGCGAGCGTTTGTGGTGATGCCACTCGTGCACTGAAACTAAACCAAGCCCTGCTCTGGGCTGTGTGGTAGAGCCAAAGGGAATGTGGACTACACTTCTACGGTGTTTCCCTTTAGACTGTCACAAAACCAAGGACCGAGACTGTCTCTGTAAAAGGATACCGAGCAGCAACGAACAACGAAAATTGATTCTGCTTCTTACATCTATGAACACTGTAACCATGAAGGATTAGACAAGGATTGATAAGGACATTATCAAAATGAAGGATTGAACTCATTAAAAATGAGTCGAAAAGATGGCTACTTCCTGGAACATTCTGCAGTCACCAGATCCAGTTTCACCACAGCATTGCTTCAAACTACCACTCTGCTTCCTGCACTTTTGTTTGTCATTTACAAAGTATTCAATCGATCTCACTGTCAGTACTTACAATATAATTGAGCCAAATACTTACGTTACACCATTTGAGTATTACTGGAAGGCACCAATTTTAAATTACTGCCACTGCAGGAAGACAAAAAAAAAATCCAGTTGAGTTTTTTTTTTCTATTTTAACATGGTTTTTTCCTCCATGCTGGAAATCATGGACTGGTGCTCACAATTTCTCTCAAGAGAATCAAGTTATATGTAAATGTTGGTATTGTAAATACACTGGTTCTGTCCTCCTTTTTTTTTTAGAGCATTTTTTATGTATTTGAAAAGCATGTAATATATAGTAAACAATTATTGTTAAGCTGGTTCTTAGTAATTTGTATAATTGCATTTGTTTGAATTAAAAAAAGTCAGCATTTGAGTTGGTTATTTTTTTTTGTCATAGGAGATATTTATTCAAAGCGACGCCTTTAAAACATCTCATCCCTGTGAGCGCAGGTCAACACAGGATTTAAATCCCAATCCATTAAATTAGGCAAACGAACGTCTGTTGAGCAGGTTCAATTAATGAAATGGAGCGAAGAAAGTAGGATTGTCACCACTTAACTAAGTAACTTAAAGCCTCATTTGCATTTTATGACTGAAGAACACACTTTGTCACAGTGGTCTTGGTCAACTGGAACCAAAAAAAAATGCATTCTCCACATTTAAATGGTTTGGAAAGTGCTTATCTGGGGTGCATTCGAGGAAGCAGATTATAGTTGGAGAGATAACTGTGGAGTACTGGCTTCGTCCCAGTTTTTTCTTTTTTCTTTTTTTTTTCAGTCTCTAAAAATGAATGCAGAGCTGCAATCAGTCGTGATGAGTATGAATAAATGATCTGATTTTAGAAATGCAACCCTCTGCAGAGCTCAGCTGCTCTGCTGTATTTTCTCATCGCCTCGCCGTGTTGCCAGGCTGGTTTTTTTGTGTTCTTAGGCTGTAAACCGACCAAACCAGTCTTTAAAACCTGTCACACCCACTATGGGCTGTAACATCTCCTTCTGTCTTCCCAGTGAATGACAAGCTCGTGTTTATGGCAGCAAACCCTCCCTGTAGGCATAGAGAAGTCTGCTGTACACATGTTGTCGTTATACATTGTGCTATAACCCTTCACCTCCTTTTCCCTCCCTCCGTCCCTTCCTTCCCCGGCCGGCGCACAGTCCCCACCGCTACAACTGTATCCGGCTACCGCTGGCCTCTTTAGGAAGGCCACAGTTGAGACTGGTGGTGCCTCCTCGGTGTTGTGCTTCTTGAGCGAGCTCAGGGGAGGTCTCAGACACTTCCAGCTCCTCGGCTTCACCCGAGGCAGCGAGAGAGGGGGAGTGCTTTGCATCCAGCTGTCTCCCTCTGTCTCTGCTGCTTCACACCAGCTGCAACCAGACATCAGGGGAGCCTGTTCCAGCTGACACTCGACTACATAAACAATAAGCTCCTGTCTACTTTCCCTTCACCTAACACACTGCAGACGCAGCAGCTCCTCTAATGTTCTGGCTGAGTATGAAACTCAGTGCATTCGGTACAAATGGAAACACATCTGTCACAAAAAAGCATTGAAAGCTGGAAAGAAGCTGTCTGTGTTTGAATTTAAAGCTGAATATGTTTTTACATTTTACTATCTTTAAGCATCTTGTTTCGCTTTTCTGTCCCTGCAGCTGACCTTTTTTGCTTCATCGCTTTCATCAGCCCCTATTTTCAGTCACCGTCAGCCAAACAGGTTTTGATAATCCATGCTCACTGCCTGCTCAGCACCAAAACAGGTTAGCGAGTAACATAATGGCGCATTTAACAGCTATAAAAACCTCAGGAGATGGTGGAGCCCAAAACGTGAGCTACAAGGAGGTTGATTATTGGTGTTACATTTAAAAGATGAACAGGGATCTTACTCCAAACAAATGCTGATGTTGCTTTGTATCTGCTGGATGTGTAAGTAGGTCAGTGTTTTCTGTGAACTCATTGCATTTATGAGGCAATGCTGATGCTAGTTTTAGGCCCCAAAGTAATTAATACTACTAATTTTAGACTGTACCAGTTAGAACATAGGATTGTATGGCTGTTTTTGCATCATTTAGACTTGAGAACTGTTTTATCAGTTGCAAAAAGGGTTGTAGAGAATCATTTTTGTCAAATCAAAGTGCTGAAAGATACATTGCTTTGGTGCTGCTACCAGGAATTAAGTATGCACAAGTATCAAACAGGTTCTAATGATGCCCAACCCTAAAGTTATGTGTCACACAACAACTACTGAACTCAGGCACAGAGCCAAACTTTAGATTAAAGTGACTGTAAATCTCGTAGTGGTACGGCTTCCCCGGGATCAGCAGTTTTACCTCACCCTGACAAGTTATGAAGAGTGAATAGTTGGATTAGCTGACCACTCATACGTGAATCTTGTTGGGGCTGGTATGGATGACCTTTCAAGGAGGCAGAAAAAGCAGTGCGAGGAGGGTTGAGGGGCTCACACGAGGAAACGGCAGAATGCTTAGGTCACGGCCGGTCATCATTAATGTGTCACATGATCGGCTGCGGTGTAGGTCTAAGCAGCCAGATCTGCTGGATGACAGGCTGCTTGAGTTATGAGGCCGACTAACCAGCTTAGCCAGCCAGAAGCCAAAGCCTCTCAGGCAGGGCTAAGGAGAGAGGGTGGGGATGCAGGGGTCAATCCGAAGGCACCCCACCGTCCAAGTGACTCAACTAAATTAAGCAGCGTACGCTAGACTCTGCTCCACGCCTGTGTTGTAGAAACTAGACACGAGGCAGATGTTGCAAGTCAACAGCCTGCACACGAAGAAGTGTTGTTGGAGAGCAGCTCGTGCAAAAACAACTTAGGTTTGTTTTTGTGTCACGTCCACTCACTTCTGTTGCCTCACACCTTTGGAGGTAATTACGGCCATTTCAAAATGACAACTTAGCTATATGTTGTCGAATAACGCAAAAACACCAAGAATAGAGAAGTGTTATTTGTAGCGTGTAGCGGTGCTTCCGCTCCTGGATTACACGTCTGTTAAGGAGAAAACAGCAAACACGCACACCTGTTGGGCGTGCAGCAGCGCACACGTGTTGATGGGATCCTTGCAGCAGCTGCAGCAGCGAGAACAAGGACCTCCTCTGTACCCTCTGAGACATGACTTTACTTGAGTTTATTGCCACCAGTGCTTGTGTTCACTCCTCCAAGTTTCACAATATGGATGGAGATGAGGCACCGCAGGGGAGGAGGACATAAATCACAACTGCAGCGCAAGACGGGTAAAACCCAGTAGCTCGAATCAAAGTTAAAGCGGAGAGAGAGAGAGAGAGCCAGTGGAATAGTGTTACACCTGAGTGTGTAGAGGTCATCCGAGGGGCCTGCTTCCTGCATTCCACGGAGAAATGATGCGACAGCAAACGTCAAAGAACAGAATTTAGTCATCTCGAAAGCAAAGGGTTAAAACAGACGCTTTGAAAAACTAGCAGTCTTTATTATCTCCTTGTTCCTCCCTCCCCTTACACACTGCCACTTGAAACTAAATAACAGCATTATGTTCCAGATGGATTCTCGTTATCTGCAGTCAATTTCAAATGGAATCCAATAAAGAAAATAAAAAATAGCTGACGCGGCGGCTAACTGGGGTTTGGAGGTGAATGACTGCAGATGAATCCACTCAAGTCGCTGTGCTGCTCTCAGCACTATAATCTACTGCAAACCCATTGATTAGCATTTGGGTTGAGTGGAGAGGAAAGTTAGCCAATCCGTCACCCAGGGGGCATTGTCAAGATTAAACACTCAGGAGGTTCACATGGAATACCGACGGACATAGGTTGCCTTTGAAGTCTTCGTTTCAAATATTGACAAAGCGATCTGACTCGAGACAAAGCAGCGCTTTCTCTTGTGTGTGGTTCTTTTTTATTTGCATGAGCATAAGGTCGGCTGGTTTCTATTCAAATATGGACCGAAGTAAACTGTTACATTTAATGTGAAGAGATCATTCAAAAAACTTGAAACAATCCAGCCTTTGGAGTTTCTTGGCAGTAATGTGTGTTGAGTTTGCACTTTTTTGCTCTTTGTTAAAAGGCAACACTTGCGCTGCTTTCACAATATTTTGTTGAGCGCAAACTGGCAGAACCGTCGACTGTTTCTGAGACTGATTAAACACAGATTTCATACCTAGTATTAAGTCTGCAGCTGTGCTGCACAGGGACACTCACACGTTGCATAGAAGAGATGCTCTCACCACTGTTGGAGAAAAGTGCCCTGACAAGTTGTGGGTGGAGTGACAGATACCCTGAGGATAAAGCCCTTTAGATTACAATCTTAAGTTTTCAAACCACACGCTGAATGTGAATCTGTAACAGGTTTAGACTGAGAGAAACAGAAATCTGTTTTATCTAAGAAAAAAAGTCAAGATCATCGGCCAAAAGACGGACGTGTGCTCCTTTTAAAGTCCAGTCACTCCTGCCGTCTTCCCTCCAGGAGGCTCTGGATCTTTTGTAAGTTCTCCTCTTGCTGACCCAGAGCTTCCAGCAAAATGCCCATCGGTGACCTCTTCAGTCCGGCTCCTTCTATCTTGTTCTCCAGTTTATTCTTCATGTTGCGGAGGCGAAAGGAAGCGTGTGCAAGTATCACTGAAATACAGATGGGAAAGTGACTGTTAACATTTTGAACGTTTGGCAAAAACAAACCCATAAAAAAATTCAAAAGTCATAAGATCACTCTTTGAGAATCTGAAGAACATCTTTCATTGATTTTGAATCATTTCATGGTACTTCAAATGCACACATCATCATACTGTAACGAAGTCTAATGAACTTAATGATATTTATTGAGCTACTGAATGTTATAAGTAGTCTCTGTGTGCTTTCTGTCGGCGTTTATGCTGCACTACCAGACATATCATACATCTATGTGTCACTTAGGGACTGTAAAACGTCACCGTCCAATGTATCAACTTACACGCCAGAGGTAAAGTGATTGCCGACATGAATACCATGACACTCCCCAGCATAGAAATCAATACGTAGCTGGCAACCATGATGATGATTATAAACGCTGTGGGATTCTGCCTCTTGAAGTTGTTCAACGCAGCTCTGTTTTCTCCGGTCCACACTGAACCCAGGAAGACGCCTGACACCACGGCCATGGCTGTGAACATCCCCAGAGGGTTCAGGAACCTGCAGGGCAGCAACACGAGGCACGTGAGAGCAGTTTCAAAGCGCTGCGATGCAGATGGAGCGTGAACGTGTTCCCGTGTAGTCACAGGCTCCACCAAGTGGTCGGAACCTGTCTGTACAACAACATGGTTCCTGACTGTTTTTATAAAAACAGGACAGCCTCAGATAAGCATCATTTTGAGCACATTTGAAATCAAGCGTTTTATTGAGTCCACCAGCAATGACATTTAAAATAAATCATTTTAAACTACTGAATCTAAAAGAGTAGTTGATTCATCGATTAGCCAGTGAGCAGTAAATGAATGCGCAGTCTTTATTTGCTGGTTTTCTAATGTTATTTTATCACTATTTTCTGACATTTGATAAACCAAGTGATTTGTTGAATAATCAAGAAAGTAAATGGCAGATCAGCAATAATAAAAATGATCATTAGCCCTAAACCCTTCTTCAAAACTATATATCAAACCATAAGTTTACACCTGACAGACACACACAATAATACACACAGTTAAGAAAAACTGAAGGTGCACTGTAGGCACTTTGTTCGCTGCTGCGCTGTTGTGTTCTGCTGGGCCAGACAAAAAAGCTTTGTGACAAATCCAGCCTTGGCACAGTGGCCAAGCAATGACCTCAGTACGTGTGACCAAAGGGCCTGTCTCACCAAGTACGTTTAACTCACTCAGGCTCTCTTTGAGGTACTTGGCTTTGCAAACACTTGTGATCGTGACGTCACAAAGCTGACGAAACCCTAAAGGAAACAAGGCTCGGTGGAGGTGGATCTGGTATAAATGTGTCATAAACAAACACTGGAGACCTAATTAGAATGTGCAGATGTTGTTCCTTTGAAAGTCCCTCTGTGGTCATTGTTTGAACTCATCCCTATGTATCAAAACTACATATTAGATAGAAGTTTTCCTATGAAAATAATCCATTCCTACCTCAGAAAGGCTTAGATGTAACTCTGCACCATTGCCTCCTTTAGAACATGCAGCTCAACAGAGTCTCTCATTATTTCTCTACTCACCCTTCAACTGTTCACTGCAGCTCAAGCACACTGGCTCACCTATGATTCTGCTCAAACACTATAAAAGTACTCAACACAATGGTACACCATCATACTGGAGTAATTCAGCCACACATGTTCAAAGAGTAACTCAAATAAGAGGAATGGCACAAAGTCCCACCATGCAAGGATGCGAGGATTAGTTCATGAAGTTTATTACATATATGATCCTGGAAATGAGTTGACTGCTTATTTCACTCATGATGTTTCTTCTTGAATATAAAAACACTAGAACTAGAGATTTCTTTTTGAACCAATCCCCAATAAATAGATTTAAAACTGCGCTGTTTCTATCTGTAGTCACTCTGTGGTCTTGGACAATGTTCTGCCCATAGGACCATCTTGGTTACATGTCAAGTAATAACCTGCTGTCAACAATAACTTGTAAAAACTTCTCTTTTATTAAAAAAATACGGACAACAGAAATAAACAACCAGTAACAAATATTGGTTGTCTGGTTTCTTGATTATGAGTTATTGCTATTGACTGTGAAGAAACCATTTTAGTCGATCCCTGACATTGACATGTCAACAAGGTAAAAAAAATAGATTTTTGTCTGAGGTTGTCTTTAAAGTAAATCTGTTTCTATTGAGTAGAAAACTATTTGCTTCTCAAAATTTGCCTCATGAACACGTGTTTGTGAGGTTAAAAAAATGCAAGAAGGGCACACTGAAAAATACTTACTGAATTAAAAAAAAACATTTTTGTCAAGGATCATTTAAATTTCTTATGCATTTAAGTTAAAAATGAACGTCACACTGCCCTCTGGTGGTGAAACTATGTGATTGCGACATTTCCTTAAGCACACTTTTGATTACTCATCACCTAATATATTTGCTTATACCAACTTCTTTGGTGTAAACTAATATCAGTCAATATATACAACATTTTTTTTAACTCGGGCAATGCCTCATATTATTTTATTGTAAATTTTACTTTATACTGATACCACACAAGCAATATGGAAGCTATAAATTACACCCAATGAAGGACAACCATGTTACCTAAGCAGCACAAAGTCAAAGATGCTAAGTCTACTGGTTTGTAAGAACATCAGTTATCCTGAACAAAATCTGCTTTTTTTTCTGCAGTGTTAGTTACCATAGTAACGGACACTGTCTTTGAGAGTCCAACTGCTTAACGAGCCACCCCAAAACAAATTACAAAGAGAGAGTCTCCTTATATCCAGTGCTTTAAAAACAATGAAGCACAATGAAATGACAAAAATGTAAAAAAGTGGTGTTTGATGTTCTCGAATCAGTTTTGAAATCTCTATTGAACTCCTGCATCACAGTGACAGAACCTCTCACACAGTCAAGTATGTTAGTGGGGCAAAGTTGTGTATTCGTCATAGGATTCCTCAGCTCTTATCACTACAAGTCTTACCTATACGGGCTGCACTATACATATGAGCTACAGTTCCTTTGTTCAGATGCAAAAATGCCCTGAGATTACACAGATAGTGGTACATATTATGTAACCCCTTATTTATTTTTTTTTTAAACTATATTTTTCTAAATTTCGTATTTTTACTTAGTGATCAGATTTGATTTCTCTATAGGTTTCTAGAGACACAATGCCTGTAAGTTCATGTTCTAGTTATTATATAAAATGTACCATAATCTGATAAGCCTCCTCCCACACTGTTGACACACCTTTTAAGACTATGCGCTCCATTCTTGGTTCTGTTTCCCCACTGGATGAAAATGCAATCGCCGGGTTTTAGAAAGCAAGTAAATAAATGTGTCAAAATCCAGCTTGGCTAGTTCAGAGGTCATACCTCAGGATGGAATCGTTGAGAAATGTTCCAATACTGGATTTCTCTTTACTCAGGGGGAACAAGGGTGGATGATTAAGCAGCTGTTTTATCACCACTGTGATATCTGCAACAGCTGACCAGACAGACGGCTTATGAGGCCTTGATGACCGCAGCAACAATATGTCATCACCACAGCTCAGCAGACTGACCATCACAGGGCATCACTATTTTTAGTAAGCTGGGCTTTAGCTGGAACAAAGTGCCAACTAAAGGCCAGGATATTTCATAAAGGAGAGATTTAATCCCTGATCTGATGGAGTACCTTGTATGGAGTGACCAGATAACAGAGCAGCTCTTCAAGCACTCTGCTGTGGTCTACGCCTGATCGTGCACTTAAAGCTAATGGATTTTGATTCAGGTTGATGCGCTGCGCAAGTCAGGACTCAACATTATTGGTGCACTCTCCAGTTCAAGTCTGTGTTTGCACCAGCTCACATTAGCACATCATGGAAGTCTCATCATGTTATAATTGCATCTTTAAAATAAAATGTCTTGAATTCTACTTCTGTATGTTGCTCACTTCTTGGTTATATTGAGAGAACAGAAAGCTCACACTGACAGCATTACAGAAACAGTGCATCACATAGAAAGAGGAACAGTATCTTCATTCATTCTTATTGGCCTGACTCCAACAACTGGGCTCTAAGCAGAATCCACATCCTGCCTGCACCTTATTTTAGATCCTTTTAAAGTAGGTTACACGCTGGCATGTACAAACAAGGCAATAACAACGAACAAATACACCAGCAAAAGCGACAGCACACTCAAACTACAGAATATTACCACAAACACCAAACAGCTGTTGTGTTGGTACAGCCTGTTGCCATATATCACTCACCCGACAATGAGGAAAACAGCGACGGCCATGGCCAGATAATTCGTTTGATAATAAAGCAGGTTGCTGACGACTCTGTTGTTCCATTTTGCCAAGTCTTTTACATCTGGTTTGGCGAATCTTTCCGACCCGGGGAAGAAGTCGTCCCACGGTCTGAGCGGCGTCAGCTCCACTCTCGCCATCTCCCTTCGGTTCCGCTACTAATCTGACAGGACACACACACAACCGGAAAAAAATCACCTGAAGCTTCAAAACTAAAATCTCGCGGGAGTTTGGCAGCTCTCGCCTCCTTAAACCGCGCCCCTATTTGATGACGTTAACTCGCGCCATTGGTCAGCACGCGCACGTTCTCGAAACTCTTCCTGTAACGTTTTATAGTAGATGACAGAGCGGTGTTTTGCGGAGATAACTGCGGTGTTTACACATAAAATCTTCGCTTTAAGTCGCAGGTCAGTTCTGTCTGTCATATTTGCTGCGTATACGTTGGCATGACACCTGTTACTCACGTGTTCTCAGTGTAAAAAGCAACGTAACAAGGTGCACGCTGACCGCTAACGCTCAGAAGCATGACTTCAGGGGCATGTAGCTAGCTAGCTAGCTCCATAGTAGTGGGCAGACATAAACAAACGGAAACCAGTGACGACGTTTGTGCTCTTTACGCAGATGTGGAGCAGAATATTGGGCCCCAGTGTGATTGGTAGGACAAGTATTTCTTGGAGGAATCTCTTTACCATGCGACTAAAGACCAGCGACTTCCAGTCCCTGTTCTCCGATGGACTGAATGGATTAGCAGGTGAGCTTCAGCTGTGGACGCAGTGACGCAACAAAACCAAAAGCTATAACTGAGTTTCGGAAATTCTGTCAGTCTGCTGCAGTACAGAGAGTAGTAGGAGCCAGTGCCAACATGAGAGTGAAGAAATTACACACTCATATACTTTGGTTTGTTGTTCTACAGTTCATGTTACTACTTATCTGATGTGCGATACGGAAACAGTGAACATGTTGGTTACTAGGGTAACCACCGTTCAAAATATCCCAGGAGACATGTTTTTATTTTTGTTTTTTTTCCCCCCATTTTGTTTTGTTTCGTTTTTTGTGAAAGTAACATTGAAAATTCGGTCCACGTGTCATAATAAATTTAATCAAGCTACAGCAGCTTTTAGTAAAAAATAGTTTTTCCTCTTACTTGTTATATATTGGTAATTACTTGAATAATCAGAGAGGTAACATTTTACAATACATCAGTACACACAATAAAAATAAATAAACAGATGGATAAAGTAATATCTGGCTGCGATGGAGTTCAGATTCATCTGTAATTAGTGATTTATATGTAGCTTAATAACTGTGGCTCTGTGTGTGACTTCTCACCTGAACTGTAGGAAACTCCACAGTGGGACTTGCTGTTAGTTCCAGACCAACCATGGCTCCATGTCAAAGATAATTAACATTTTTAAGTTATTTTTGAATTCAACCTAACCAGCTATTGACAACTCGCTTTGATGAGTTCAATGTTAAAATTTACAAAGAATCCTTAAAGTTTACAGAAGAAACCGGGACTGCACAATAAATCGCTTCAAAATCATGATGTGTGCACAAGCAGTCGTCAGATCACAGGAAAGTGCATTGTGATGTAAGGCTAATTAACTTCTTTTGCTGTTAGGTAGAGAATACTCACACAGTTGTCAGTGATGCATGAGAACTGTTCCAAACATTTTGCACTCAAAAAGTCACTTTTAAATCTATTTGAACAATATGTGTATTTTATTTTCTAATGCAGATGCACTACAAAACAGTATCACTGCAATCAATTGAGAATGATTAATTCATTCTAACTAGAGTTATTCAAGTCATTTAGTGAAAATTCCAGATTTTTTTAAATAACAGGATTGGGGAGATTTTATTTATCACATGCTCATAATTTGCATAATATTAGTTAGTCCTAATTATTATTGTAATGACCCTTTTCCCTCCTGCTGTACTGCCTCTCACAAGTACCATAACAACAAAGTGTGTTTTTGGTCTTCCCAGAGGTATTTGAGAAGAACCAGCATGAGCTGAGGATAGCTGGAGGCGCTGTACGGGACTTGCTGTCTGGGAAGCGGCCTGAAGATGTGGACTTTGCTACTACAGCCACTCCAGAGGAGATGAAGGACATGTTCCAGTCTGCTGGGATCAGAATGATCAACAACAAAGGAGAGAAGCACGGGACCATTACTGCAAGAGTAAGAAGCTGTGTGGAGAGGATGTAGCTGCTCTCATTTCTAATCAGTATTTAAAACTCTCCTTTAAACAGTACTGAACTTGCTGCCTGATGCTTTACTTTGGCAGAATATTACTTAAACTCACTCTCCAGATGTAGTAATGCCTATTAAAGTGACTGAGGGTGGCGGGGAATGATATGAGAAATGATAATATCTTTCAAAGAGCTGAGCTTTTTTGTTGACACTTGAAGGTATGAATACTATTTATAACGGTGTGCTGTTGCACCAGGCAGCTGTATCACCAGTCTGATCAATCAAGTGGATTCTAAATCTGTGTTTTAATGATTCAGCCATCCTGATGGATTATGGGGGTACATACCACCAATAAACAGCCCAGCAACAGGGAACTCTGCTACTAATTGATTAGTTTATTCCTGGAGTATGTAAATAAGTTCCATCTATTGAGCAGATGTAGCAGGCTAAAACATATGGCTTCATTAGCTGGGATACATATAAGATGTCACAGTGTCGTAATGTAGTAGGGTAGCTTTGCCATGTCCCGGTGGCTCCGTGAAACTGTCTAGAGTCTGAAGGATGAGGGCATATGCACTAACATCACTGGTACTCAATCACTTCTTCTGTTTATGTATCTCTTGTAGATACACAACGAGAACTTTGAGGTGACCACGCTGAGAGTGGATGTTCAGACAGATGGACGTCATGCAGAGGTGGAATTCACCACCGACTGGCAGAAAGACGCTGAGCGGCGAGACCTCACCATCAACTCCATGTTTTTAGGTCACTGTTTTTTCCACGAGATCTGAACATAAACAGTGTTGAGGATGGGTGATGAGTTGATGTTCCCTTTTCATGATACGACAAAATTCTTTACCTTGGTGTGTGAACATTCTTTCCCCCCGCAGGTCTTGATGGCACATTATACGACTATTTCAAGGGATACGAGGACCTGCAGAACAGTAAAGTGCGGTTTGTCGGCAGCGCGGAACAAAGGATTCAAGAAGACTACCTGAGAATACTGAGATATTTCAGGTGGGCTCCCTCATTTTGTGTTCTTCCTACCAATATTCAACTTAAACTTATAAAGAGGGGAGGGAATTTACAGTACATGTCCGTCAACTCTGTCATTTCATCCCAGGTTTTACGGCAGGGTGGCTTTGACACCTGATGACCACGACCCGGAGACACTGACCGCCATCAGGAAAAACGGCCGTGGACTGGCAGCGATATCAGGAGAACGAATTTGGGGGGAACTGAAGAAGATGGTGGTTGGTAGCCACGCTGGTGATCTGTTGGAGCTGATGTATAGTCTGGAACTGGCCCAGTACATAGGTGAGCGCAGGGAACAGTGAGAGGATTTGAGACACAGGGAAAAAAAAGAATATCACATCATCACACAGACTCTCTGAATCTTAAGATAATTCTGATAATCGTGCTGACTGACAAATTGTGTTTTCGTCTGCATGGCGATGTGAACGCGCATGATGTACAACCTGCAAATATCTCATTAAAATTCATGTTCAGTTCAGTGATCAACTTTATGAATCCCTCACTGGGGAAATTTATATGTTACAGCAGTTAGATGCAAATGAGGCACAGAAGAACAATAAGGCTAAAAATAAAGATATAATAAAGACTATGTACACCTTTCACATATACAGATGAAGCATGATGGTGAGGTATTCATGGGCACTTTCTTCAGTAATAGCATGTTCAAATTCATTTCTTGTTTACTGTGCATAGACATTTGGGGGTCTATGCTACCTGTACCTTAATTATGGCCTTTTATATAATCCATATCTGATATGACTTTTAGAACCAGTGATTGCAGTTAAAAGTTTTGGACACAAGCTAAACTTGATTTAATCTGACCGTTACTAGTGTTTCTGAACTAGTAGCAACGGCTTCTAAAAACGATAGAACATGTATTCTGTTAAAAGGAATGACGTCCGCTTAAATGTCAACGTTAGATTATCGATTTCATTATTTTTTTTCTTATTATCAATGCACTGATCAGGTTTAGTGTTGTTATTGTACTGATGGAACTGTGACCCTGCAGGTATGACATTTTTTGCCTGTTTCTTTGCACATTTTTCTTTTTGTCTGCCTCAGATCTCTCTTTGAAATGTTTTGAATGTGCCCTAATATGACAAGATTGTCTGCTAAGTGTAGGCATTAGCAAAAACATCAGCAGTGCCAATAATTTTCAAGAGTCTTACAAATTAGAGCTGCTTCTAAATGGGGAAGGTTTCACATTCCATTACTGAGATGAAGTGGACTAAATACCTTTCAACCCCTGCAGCGAGGTGAGCTCTGGTATTAGCCATCACTGTTCACATGACTAAATGAGTCTTGATTATTAAACTCTCCAGATTATTCAGTAACCTCAGGAGTGTTTTTAACACACTTGGGGGGGAAAGAAGTACTGTAACTGTAGAAAATGGTGGTCTATGTTTTTGTATTGTTGAGCTCTTTTAACTGCTTCTCATGTCACTTCTGTTCATCTCTCCCGTCCCTGCTCCTCCTCAGGTTTACCTACAGATGGCGACGTTGACGAGATGAAGCGAGTGTGGCAGAACGCCAAAGACCACTCTCCCAAACCGATGACCATCCTGGCTGCTCTCTTCCACTGCCCAGAGGAGGTGGAAAAGATGGACATCAGACTGAAGGTGTCCCGGGAGGAGAAGAATCTGGCTCAGTTCCTGGTCAAAAACAGACGGGAGCTCTGCAAGAGTGAAGAAGAGCGGGACAGCCTGAAACCTTTCACTGACTTTATTATTGACGTAAGTTTCTGCCTCTTGTTGTTGGTCTGTGGAGACAGTCTGATGACATTGTTCATGTGGCAGTGGAGATTCTACCTCATCAGAACAAAGCAGTCGGTGATTTTAGTTACTCACATAAACATCTGAGTACATGTCTAAAGTGTTGTGGGCTGGATTGATTATTTTTCAGCGTAACTACTTTATAAACTAGTGTGATCAGCTTATATCGAAGGTGAACAAATCAACAGTGAGGCTCGGTGAACTTCAGTCAAAGTGTAAATCAGAGATTAAATGATGGTTGATTAACCTATCAGTCAATCAGCAGAAGGGTAATCAGCAGCCATTTTGATAATTGATTATTCTGTTGGGCCTTTTGAAGCAAAAGAAAAAAACTTTAATGTTTGCTTGTTTAGCTTGTCTATAATAATGGTAAACTCAATACAGTATGTTTTAGGGTTTGCACTGTTCAATCAATTTGCAGACATCACCTTAGGCTCTTGGAGAATGAGATTGGCAGCATTTCCCTGAAGAACAACTAATTAATTTAATTTATCAAGTTCTCTTGCGCTTGTTGGACAGCAGTCCTCCTGCATCCATCAGCCACAAGTGAAAGCAGCATGTTCACACACATACTAATGAGGCTTGGAGAAAGGCATCGTTGAAAATGTTTGTACGAAATGAACAAATGTAATAAGTCAGTGCTTCTTTAATTGTGTCCTTTTTACAAAATGCCTTTTTGGTACATTGCTTTTAAAAACATTAATTTATTTTAATTGTTTTGGACACGAACAGAATTTAATCTGACAGTTACAGTTTTTTTGAACTAGTGACAAAATTTAATGAAGTAGGAGAATGTGTACTTTATTTTTTTTTTTTTTAAGAAATGACGTCCGTTACAGCTTCAATGTCAACATTAGTACTTTTTTTTCCCCCCAGTTGAGTTTTTTCCTTATCTATGCACTGATTAAGCTTGCAACTAGTAAAATCTTCACATAAATATCTTAACATAAATACATGAAGGTATTTTCATGGGATAAATAGAACAGACATTAGATTCAGCTTTGATAAAATGTAGTCCAACATACAAACATTACTTGTTAGAAAGAGAGAAAACACCTAAATCAAAAGGCAAATTCACACAAAAATGCTTTAAACCCCCTGAAAATGTAGTTTATCATCTGGCTCAAAGACAGATTTCTGTGTTTATAGATTTACTATTCCATGTTGGAAACTAGTCAGTATTTAGGAACACCTGCTTCCTTGGCCACTGTTGATTAAGTCTGATCAGACCACACCTATGATGTTGTGTTTACTGTAAATGTTAAACTCTAGTCATACTTGTTTCATACGATTAAAAAAATATGTTATAGTAAATATTGTGTGTATCTTAAGCGACAACATGCTCTGAGTTGGTCCTATTCACACACATGCTGTATCTTCTTCAGAGTCGGGAGCTGGATTCCCAGAGCAAAGTGTGCGAGCTGCTCAAGTACCAAGGAGAGCACAAGCTGCTCTCAGAACTCTGCCAGTGGTCCATCCCTCGCTTCCCCGTCAGCGGTAACGATCTTAGGAAGATGGGCGTCACGTCCGGCAAGGAGATAGGCGCCACTTTACAGAAGCTCCGCGACATCTGGAAGAAAAGTCATTATCAGATGGACAAAGATGAACTCCTGACTTATTTAAAGCCTTAAATGAGCAGAAAATGTATTTATTCTGCTTTAGACTAAAATACAACCTGGACATTTGATGTTGCTGTTGCACTGTCATCATTTGAGCAGCCTGATGCTTATTGTGAGACGTGAATAACTGCTGATGAATGCCATTTCAGCCTAAATTACCCCGGGGCTGCTTTTGTTCATTTGCATTGCTGTGGAAATGTGAAGAGATTACACAGTGTGTCTCACAGCTGCCATCATACCACAAAATGTGTACTGGAAGCAGCTTTCCCCACACAGCTCTGTGATTTATGGAAATGTTAAAATGGTTCAGAGAATGTCAGTCTTAAGTTTTCTGACATGTTCACTCTTTAGATTGATGTGATGACGGAAGAAGATGAAACATGGAGGCAGAACTTATGCATTTATAGTTTATTTAAATACCAGGGCAGCCGCACTAGATGAGTTGTTTTCATTGTTAAAACAATCAGTTAAAGCAGAGATAGATTTTGTTTGGGGTTTGTCTTTTGCATAACTGCATTTGTGTTATATGGTTTGACTTTGTTTTCTAAAAAGACTCTATATAAAAAAGAGTATTCATTGAAAGGACTCTTCTTTTGTGCACGCTTTGTAGAACACAAAGAACAGCCTATCTGTGTGTAAATTCCCTACGTTTCTATGGCTTTGGCACTGTGAGAAATAAATATTTTCCAGGCTGGAGTGAGGTTGCTCCTCCCTCCTGCAGAGATGAAGAGATATATAAAGCCCTCTGCTCTCCTTCACCAACACCTCAGTTTGTGTGTAGAGAAGCTCAACACTTGTTGCTCACTGGAAAAATCATTCTGTCAACTCACCTTTTTTTTCTTTTTCTTTTGAAACCATTTAAAATGTTTATTTTGAGCTTACAGTTTTATTTTTTCTAAAATGCCTCCACAGCAATTGGATCCACCTGACGGGGTAATGTAACGGTGTTCAGCTTCTCTGTCCTGACTTTGTGGTGGAAGCATGGCTTGGTTCAGTGGGAATGTGAGTAACATCACACTGGAGAGCGCGCTGTCCGGTGATGAGCCTCGAGACGAGCGCTTGGCTCAGGTGGAAATAGCTCTTCTGTCCATCATCTTCATCACGGCAGGGATCCTAAACTTTGGGCTCTTGTTAGTGCTGTGGAAGCGCAGGAAGCAGCTTTCCAGGATGCGCGTCTTCGTTTTCCACCTGTGCGTCGCCGACCTGGTGGTCACATTCTTCCAAGTTTGCCCCCAACTCATGTGGGACATCACTGACAGGTTCATCGGTCCGGACATATTGTGTCGCGTGATCAAGTACCTGCAGGTGGTCGGGATGTTTGCCTCCACCTACATGATCGTAGTGATGACCGTGGACCGTTATCAAGCCATCTGCAACCCCATGGTAACTTTCCAGAGGCGCAGGGCGCGCTGGAACGGTCCGGTGTGCGCAGCCTGGTGCGTCTCCCTCATCGGCAGCCTCCCGCAGATCTTCATCTTCTCTCGGGTCGAGGTGGCTCCCGGTGTGTACGATTGCTGGGCGGAGTTCATCAAGCCGTGGGGACCGAGAGCCTACGTGACCTGGACGACTTTGGTCATATTCATCCTGCCCATTCTCACCGTGATCGTGTGCCAGGTGCGCATCTGCCGCACCGTGCACATCAACTTCCACATGAAGACGCACCACGCCGGAGAGGCGGCCAGCAAGCCGCTGTCCTCCAGGGCCAGCAGCGTGGCGGGAGTGTCCAAGGCGAGGGTGAAGACGGTGAAGATGACCGTGGTGATCGTGCTCGCCTACATCATCTGCTGGACGCCGTTCTTCACCGTGCAGCTCTGGTCCGTGTGGGACGTCGAGGCGCCCACTCAGAGTAAGAAAATACTGATGTCACTACAAAAAGACATAAAACTACAAGACTGAGATATTTAATTGAGTCTAACTTCTCCCATCATGAACCAAGAAATGAAATGATAAAACGCTCAAAGAATGTTCTTAGATTAACAGTTTAACATGAGACTTCTCTGTAACCATCATGGAAACTGTCTAATTGTGATGATGTGCAATAATGAATTACATTCAAGGACCTTGACTTAAAAAGAAAAAGTAATAAATGATGGCACCGCTTTCACCACGTATGATAATGTAAAGGTAATCTTACATTGTCCATTTGAATGCAATCATTTCAGTAGAAATACAGTAAGTCAGTCCTAATAAATATGAGTTTACTGACAATATATAAATCTGGAACTGGTTCTCCTCTGCTAGAGAAAACTCAAATAAAAAGAACATTTCTCCCATTTGTCCTCATGTGTTTCCAGCTGCGACCTTCACCATCTTGATGCTGCTGGCCAGTCTCAACAGCTGCGCCAACCCCTGCATCTACCTGCTGTTCTGCGGGAAGCTGCCCAAGAAACTGGTGACCCTGATGTGCACGGGTCAGCCCGATCTGAAGGAGTCCATACAGGAGGAGGCCACCATGGTCAGCTCTCTGTACATCAGCCTCAAGAACCTGTCAGACTGCAGATAAAAGTCTCTGACATTCTGTTTCTCAGTTCAGGCTTTTGATCTGTTGAGCATGGTGTAACAAAAAATGACAAAGACTCACTGAAATCCTCTATTAAGTGCAAAGACAAACATCCTACCACAAGGTGTTCACACTGTACATATGGACAATGTAAGAAAATGCTTTTATGTACATAGAAAATATAAATTGTATTTTGTAACCACTTAAATGGATGCTCTGCTGACATAATAACTCAAAATCACAATAATATAACACATTTTTTAAATAAAAAAAAAAGTTTCTATAGAATTTCTTAGCCGAGGTCTGTTGATAACTTAGTCTACTGCTTTAATCTGAACTTTAATATCACAACAAATGAGAAATTAGAAGAACTGCTGTTAAATTTACAGTTTTAGACATTCGTGGTACCCAGAGGATGCTGGATCCTGGTGGCCTGACTTTACTTCTAGCACCACCATCAGGTTGATATTATTGGTTTTGAGTGAAATGTTTTCACAAGTAGACTACTGGATGGATTAGCGTGACATCTGGCTCAGATATTTATGATTTCCAGTTGTAATAACTAAAGTGAGCCATTTACCATCAAAGTTGTAATTTGTCTCATATTTTGGTTCATGACCGAATACCTGCAAAACCAATGACATTTCCATCATCTGTACTTTGTGTTTCATTCCAAATGGAAAGCATGCTAAAGATGGTTAACCTAGTAAACACCAGCACCTGCTAAACAAGCATGTTAGCTTGGGGACATAAGCATTTACTACTCGGCACCATTGTGCTTGAACACAATCCGAGAGCTGCTGGCGTGGCTGTGGACTTTTAAAGAGTATTGAAGTATTGCTGAATAACAGCTTTTGTGTGTGTCTCCTCCATTGTGTTAAATATCCACAGGATCCATCATTTCAGTAGTTCCCAGTCATTGCCTACATAAAACCTTGATTATACTAAATTGTGAATGTGCACATGGACACCTATGGATGTATAGTTGACACTATTATGCTACTTCTGTAATCCGCGGCAGCCTGCTGGGAAGACTCCATTGCATATGTGCGTATATGACTGCAGAGCATGCACACTTTTGCCTTTTGAGGTTTGCTGTCACAATGACACAAGTTTTCTGAAATATCTGGGAGCAGACAGCCCCTGTGTTAACAGTTTTTTTTTCTCTATAAGGTGCAGCCAGTGTTAGGAAGGTGTAGCCTGTAAGGGGTTTCCTGTTGGAGAACACCCAGTCATCTCTTGTTCCACTGCCTCATCTTAAGCCCATCAAACATTCAGTGCTCCAAAGCGGCGCCACACATTGCGTCCAAAATTGCCCCCGTGGACATGTACCGTTATTGTGTGCTAATGGCCCTGAATAAATGTATTCAGCGTGCTGGAACTTCAAATTTAAACCAAGCTTTTAAGCACAGTTAGTCACTGATGACTAATAGGCTGGATAAAAAAGTAAGGATGTAGCCACTGTGAGGTACCCCATTGGTTTGTAGACCACTGCTGGGAAAACTTAAGTTTTCTTGTTCAACTTTAAAAAAAGATGCAAAAAGCCAGCATTGGATCTGATTAGAGAGCAAGAAGACACTACACACAATGACACATTAGCAACCTGGTCCACACAGATTAGCTCTGCCCTTAACCATACCATGGTTTATCATCTATTTTACGCTAACTGGGGCCAAATTTACAAAATGAACATCATGCTTTATTGAAAGAGATTGGAAACTAGTGACTGAGACCACAAAGTCATTAGGGAAATCTTAGGTAGCAAATAAAGTGAGACAAAGTGTCATTTTCATATTGACTTCTGTACAATCTGACTTCTTTTTTTTTGCAACCAGAGAAGTCGCCCCCTGCTGGCAGTTCGAAAGAATGCATGTTTAAGGCCCATCTGCAGTCGGTTCCAGCTTCAGAGTCAGCGGCTATGTTCAGTTTTTTATACGCAACCTATGTGTTGACCACTGCTGTGCCATTCATCAATATAGAAATAGATAAAACACGGTAGATAGCTTACAGATATAACTGCCAGGTTTACTGCATCACCACTGTTTGAGTCTCTCGGAGCGCAGAGATCTACTGGTTGAAACATTAGCGTTGTAGTTACGGTGGTGCTATTTCTTACAGCGCCACTCAGAATTCCAGAGTGGCAGTTACTAAATAGAAAAATGCAGCTATTCACTATAACGTGAAAATAGCCTTGTGTGGCTTTTACACTGCATCAAATGGACCAAGTTCCTTAGGAAGAAAGGCGTAGACATAATAGACACTCACAGGAATGTGGTGCATGTCATGAAATGTACAGATCATCTAGAGAATGACTATACTAGCTTTTAAAAAGAATAAAAAGTTAAGGTGGTTTAATGTAGTTATCTCAAGGTTATGAGATCATACTTTGTTGTCTCAAAAAACATAAGGCTAATTCTGGAGAACTCTAAAATGTGAGTCACTGTCACAACTTCCAACAATCTCAGCCGGATCACTGAAGTGCAGTCACCTGTGAAGTCCAGCTGTGTCTTCTCCTTAAATTATGAACATGATCTCTAGAATAAAAGAAAGACCAAATACAATTTCTGCCTGTTAGACCGTCTCTGAAGTTCAGTCTGATGCATTGATCAATAATGGGTACTTTGACATTTTCAGCTTTAATTAGTTGCTGCCTTTTTCAAGACGCCAGCTATGCAATGCTGACATGCAGAAGCTGTGGACACATTGAAAATCATTTGATGTAGCTTTCACATATTATAGTAATGGGAATCCAGTAGCTGCTGCTTACAACATCACAGAGGTGGGCAAGGAGAGAGACAGAGAGACGCTTTTTATTTCAGTAATAACAGCAGCGCACTTTACTGCTGATAGAGACAGAGCGAAAGTACACAGTTATATTCCTGAGTGCTACGGTTCTTTTATTAGTTAACTATTTTATTTTCTGCTTCTCGAAGGGGAGCGGTAAGCCAAGACACCAGACGCAGTGATGAATCACCTTCACGCCCCCCCTGGCTCCCTAGTTGGCAGCCGCTGGCATGTCACTCCAGATCTCTGATAAATAAAACAGGAAGTAGCTTTTGTTTTCTTGTGATAACAAAATAATTAACTCTTTATTATAAGGAAATGAGCTTTGTCGATAAATGAACTTTCATAACCATCTGCGTGGAAGATGTTTCTCATATTTTACTGCATGTCATCTTTTCTTCAGAGAGGTTGTGTAATGTCAGATCTTGTGAAATATTGACTAATTATCCTCTAATTCTCCAGTGTACACATGGTGTGTAAATCATGAGTTCAATATAACAGTTTTTTCCCCCCTGTATATATTAATCAGATGTCCTTTGACTTTGATTCTGTACAGATGATGACGGATCTGAACTTGTTACCAGATTATGTAATTACATTAATGTTATGTATCTTCAGATATATTTAATGTCCTACAATGATAATTGATAAATGTTATATGATGACATTTTTAAATACTATTTCCGATCGGTCCTTATGGAGCGATAACCTCTGAGGTGTTATCAAATAAACTGTTGTGACTTTTTATTCGACTGTTTTCTTTTTTCCCAACATGACTGTCTTGTAAAAAAAAAACGTCCTTTTAAATTTGCACACCTTAAAACACTTCAGCAATGCAAATTTTGGTTTGCATGCATCTTTTTCTCCCTAAATGTCACCTGATAGAGTTTTCATCCTCCATTAGGAGATAGCAGCATATGGGAAGCCTTCAGGTGACACAGGAATACGTGTTTCAATTATAGACATTGTTTTATTGTATAACATGTCATTATAACTGAAGGAGAGCCAGGTGGGGAACATTAGCAGAACCCAGCACATGGCGGTTCTTTCAGAAATTAAAGGATAAAGCTGTGGAAGTGGGAGTTAAAAAAAAAAAGACTTGAAAGTAGTAAATTCTACATTTCTGTGAAACTGGTGTGCAAATACATCATTAGAAACATGCAGAAAACACACCTGTAATGCTTCCATTAAGCGACACTGACAAATCCTCCATGAAATTGCCCTTTAATGCATCTTCTGCTTTTACCATCATCAGTGAGTGTGTGTCAGCAGGCTGGGGCTCACCTCTGACCTTCAGCGCTAATGGAATGGCCTGAAGACGCCTCTGCAGCATCCTCAGGTGAGTCGGTGAGGGGGGAGGTGCAGCTAACTGGTTTGTTCATAGTCCGTCCATCCATCCATTATCTATATCTAATCCCCACTCGGGGGGCTGGAGTCTATCCCAGCTGACTCAGGGTGAAGGCAGGGGACACCCTGGACAGGTCACCAGTCTATCACAGGGCTACACTTAGAGACAGACAACCAAGCACACTCACATTCACACCTATGGACAATTTAGAATTACCAATTAACCTCAACATGTTTTTGGACCTTGTGGGAGGAAGCTGGAGAACCCGGAGAGAACCCACGCTGCACGGGGAGAATATATAAACTCCACGCAGGAAGATCGTGGTGTCCTCACTGGGATGCAAACCGGCGACCTTCTTGCTGCGAGGCAACTGTGCCAACCACTGAACCACCTTGTAGCCCTCATATTTATTCTTAAATAAAACTATTCAATCTAGAAGTCCCTGATTTGTCACACTGATAACACGTTACCCTTTGTTGGAAGACATCAGCAACAGTTCCAACCATTCAGTTCATTCTGTCTAAGCACAGAAATCTCTGGCTTTACTTTCAGCGTCACCATCCTTCCTCAATAGAATTCCTTACAACAAGGCAGCCAGCCCTCTGCTTCTTGTTTACACCAAAACACACACATGCCCATTGTACATGAACGTCCATGTGATATGCATTTACAGGCGTGCGAGTATGTACTATTTCTGAAGGTTAGGTTCTTCAAGGTAGCCACTGTTTGCTTTGATGTCAGCTTTGTACACCAGTGGCAATAAGTTAAGCAGCCTCATGAGGTCATCGGCTGGAAAGGTTTGACAGAAGAGTCTTGTTAAGAACTAACTGTTGGAATTTTTTTGTAAAGCATCATTTGTGTTTTTGCCACAGAGAGAAAAACCTAATACAAGTCAGAGCGTCAAACATCCTAACTTGGCTGATTTAACTTAACTCCAGACTATTTCAGGCTAATGGTTTCCATAACT